TGTGCCCACATGTGATTAGGTAGCGCTGAGTTACAAGTGAACTGGACTTCCTTTATTTTTCGTGGTGAAATAGTAGATTAGTAGTCTGATGAATCACTTGCTGCTCACTCATATTTTAAAGTAGAAATTAATAAGTGTACAATCCTGTTTGGGGACTTTCTGAAGGTGGGAGAGGTGGCAGATTGTTTTATTTGATGTTTCTGAGATTGGGGAATTGGAGAAGATGCTTGATCTGACATTTTATGTCTTTGTTTTCCAACGTAATAAGAAGAAAGGAAACATAATAATTCTTACTTACGCTTTTTGTATCCTTTCCCCACATTTTAGTTTGATTTTTTTTTATATTTCGTTTTATATTTTAGACCAAGTGAGAAAGCCATTTATTGAATTGAAATATGTATTTTTTACTATTACTCATGTAGCACTCAGTCACGCTTGAAGACATAATTATGTGCACTGATGCTGGCTTTGATATTTGTATGCTGTGTTGAATATTGATACATGCATGATGTGGTGCAGTGTTGTAAGAGAAGTTAATATATAAATAAACCTCACTCCTACAGGTCAGACTATGTAGTGTGGTCCTCTGCGCTTCTTAGAAGTCTTTGGAATGAGTCAGGTGTCTGTGCGAGTACAGCAGACATGTGAATATCAGTCTGGGTTGTAGAATCTGTTTATATGCAGAACTTGTTAATGTCATCTTGAGGAGGGGCATCGTGTTGCCTGCGGTTAGTGGTACCTAATCATGGCATGGTAATTGACTGAATAAACAGCTCTGAGATGCAGAGTAACACTTCCAAATAGCTGTCTTGCTGTATCCTGAATGATCTATAAAAATTTATACTTGCAGATTTCCAGGAAGAATACTACCTACAATATAGAGAGAGTGCTTTCCTGTGGTATGCACAGAAGATTGGCGAGTGATTGCAATATCTTTCTCCCTGAAGTCAGGCACATAAACTGTACTCCTTGAAGAGCAGAGGAGGGAGTTTTTATTTACAATGATCAGCAAACTCTTTTCCAATCTCCCTTCCTTTGCTCATCAAAAATATCTAAATTGATAGCCCAGAATACAAACGAGTTGGAAATGGTGTTTACTTCTAAAGGTCAGTGTTCTGGAAATACTGTGCTCTTGAGTTTGCTCCTTCAAGAGACAGGCAGTGAAATCTTAGGGAATACCTGTGAGAAAAGAGCAGTCTCAGGTATATTCGTAGTCTGTTTTTGTCTTCTGATTTTTTAACACTTTTTCCAATTTTGTAATGAAGAACTCTATCCTTTGCTGTGCTAGAATAAACATGCTTTCTTCTTTAATCTTGTGTGATGTAGCAGATAGTGATGAATGAACTATTGTCAGTGTAAAGTATGCTTTTTTTTTCCTTTTTCTTTTTTCTTTTTTTCCTCCCAGAAACAGTCAATCTAAATAGTGTAATGTCATAAACAAGCTGTTTGAGCACCTGAACCTCACAGTTCTTCTGGGAGCTCTGCGAGTATCATTTTCTGAACTAGAAGTATCCAGTGCCAGGAAATGGAGAAAAACATCTAGGCAGATACTATCTTGCTTCTGGGAGTAATGCAGATATAATGCCTGATGGCAGGAAGTTGCATATAGTCACACATAGAAAGTCCCAAGTCTATCTTGTATTTCCTCAGACTGCAGGATGTAATTCATTATTTTTATATGTGTGACATTTGTTTCATATGTATTGCAGCTGGGAGGGGTGGGCTTTTGTTGTTGTTTAAGTACCTTTAGTCTTTTGAGAGAAGTCGGAGTACTTAGAAGAATATAACTCGTTTTCTGGGTGCTATTGCAACTTACACCTCAATGCTCATGCAGACTGCTTTAGATAAAGGACTTTTTCTGTTCAGAACTATTTTTTTTTTTAAATTATTTCTTCTGGGAAGTTTTTTACTTTAAGTCCTTAAGTACTCCTTTACAAGTAGGAAATTTTTTTGCTGCCTCATACATTCATCCTGTCTGGCAGCAATTAATTATTAGGATAGGGAGAAAGTAACTATACATGCCAGTATAGCTCAGTTGTCCAATGGAAAGGTAGGTGAAGATTCATGTTATATGTTTAGCATTGCTTGATAGAAAACACTGAAATTCTGTCTTACTTTAATCAGAGAAGTCCTGTGCAAATTTATTTCAATGCAACAGTAAACACTGGGGCCTGTCTGACATAGTAGATTAGTTTCCATTCTAGGCTGACTAAGCACTCTCAGAGTAGAGAGTATTATATATGCTTAAAGCTTCATGGAATGCTTCTATTTGTACCAAGAATATTTTAATGCAGGGATTTTGACTGCCTAGGAGCAGCCATGTACTTCTTAAGGTTGGTATTCATACTGCTTTTTCACAAATAAATTAATGGAAACATGGTGAAAATCCAAAGCAATTTTGCCCAAAATAATTGGCAGAGCTGAGCTGACTTTGATTCAGTGTTCTGGCCACTACTAGGTTTTGCCATTTATTTCAACACTTTCAGCAGGTGATGAGATCCCTCTCATCATCATATTATTTATGACAATTTAGCCTTTTAATGGATTTTCTTTCATCCTTTTGTAAACAGACTATTTTTATGTCTAGAAGTTAACTGTCAGTACTGATTTATGTCACTATACTTGAACATAAATCTCCGTCCTTTAAAAATTGTGATTTATACATGGCTGTTAGTGGTTTTAAATCATGAATGAAGGAGGAGCGTCTAAGAAGCCCTTAGCTTTTCTGTCATATTCAGACCTATGTGAAAATCATTTGCTTCATTTTTATTTCTGGAGCACTTCATATTGACCTACAGTAATGATTCTAAACTTCCATTCAAACTTTCAGATACAGCAAGGCCAGGCTTGGAGTACTGTGTTCAGTTCTGGGCTCCTCAGCCTAAGAAGAGACAGGAAACTACTGGAGGATGTCCTGTGAAGGGGCACAGAGATGATGAAGGGGCTGGAGTATCTCACACTTGGAAGAGGGCTGAGGGAGCTGGGGCTGTTCAGTCTGGAGACGAGGAAGCTTGGTGTTTGTAGGGGGGAGGATGATGGATCTCATCAAAGTGTGTAAGTAGCTGTAGAGAGGGTGCAGAGAGGACAGAGCCAGGCTCTTTTTGGTGGTTCCTTGTGCCAGAGCAAGAGGCAGCGGGCACAAACTGGAAGACAGGAGGTTCTCTCTGAACACTGTGGAATGCTTCTTTACTGCAGGGGTTGGTAGTGACAGGGCACTGCACAGGATGCCCAAGGGGTTGTGGAGTCTCCACTGCTAGAGATCTTCAGAAGCCACCTGGACATGGGCCTGGGCAGCCTGTTCTGTGTGGTCCTGCTTAAGCAGGGGGCTGGGCCAGACAAACTGCAGAGAGCCCTTCCTACCTTGACCACACTGTGATCACTAGGAGACTATCTGTGCTGTTCTGTTCTGTGATTTAACAGCTACTTCAAAGCTGGGAGCTATTACTATACCATCTGATTCCATTTCCTGTGAGCTGCCATGAGCTGCATCACAACTGAAACCTGGGAGTCCAGTCTAAACAAACATCTTATGTTTCAGCCTGTATGGAATAACAAAAACCTCATTTAATGTGATTTGCATCTTCCACATAGGCAGTTTTTTGAAGAAGTTGTTATGGAATTTTGATGCAATTGTACTTGATGAAATAAAATTTATCAGTTTTTGCTGATTAATTCCAAGAATATATTTCAATTGGCTAATTTTTAATAGCATGTAACAAATCATTTCTTCAAACATACCATTTCAAAGGGCCTTGTCTTCGATTGGGAATGAATAAATGGCACATGATCAGGACTTTCAGTTCATGTTGTACTTGGAAAAGCATAGCGTGGAAAACAGTTCAAAGAATTGCAAAACCAGAAATCTGTAAACCAGACTTTTGAAATTTTCAATAACAATTTTCTAGCCTTCCACCTGAGTGTTCCCAGGGCTTACTAAAGAGGATCATATGTAGTGGCTGATGGTACAATTGTACAGTTATAAATGTGAAATGAAGTAGTATTTATGCTCTAGAATAAATTGTATTACAATGTGAACATTAAAGTCAATTCTACTTCTAGAGTACGCTTTGGTAGGTGTAGTATTTTGAGAGTGAAGGTCATTAAGTTTAATGTCCAGTAATGAACTAAATTCTTCAGTTCTACTGTAGAAAGAAGCAGATATTTACATTACATGCTTCTTTCCTATGCGCAGTATACAACTCAATTATGTGGACTTTATCAGAGAGAAAGAACATGCTGTATAAGATTGCATTCTTCATAACTGGAGTCCTTGAAATAAATTTCCTTTCCTTGTATATGGTTGTCGGTAATATTAAGCAACTTGCTGAAAGACCGGCACCACTTAATTAAACAGACCTACTTGAAAAAAGGATGTGCTCATACTGAGTATTGATAGTGCAACAATTCTGCTTTTGTTTGAAACCTTAGTGTAGGATCCAGACACCTGTGACTTCAGGAATGTCTCCCCTTAGTACTCTTTCAGGAACCGAATTTGTGTCAGGCATTGTGGTAATTAATGATTTATCTGATCTTTTGCTATTGCAACCAATGCAGCCTTATTGGAAGGACTCAGCTGCCCTGCACACTTAAAGTTTCATTGGTGTAATTCCAACTTTTAGATAAAATGATAAGCAATTTTCATATGTTTTAATACTAAGTTATTTGGCGTAGGACTACAATGGTGTAATTTACTGATTAGGAAAATATATTAGAATTGTGTTCTGTATTATTATCACATAATCCCCCTTCCCCCCGCCAGTCTCATTTTTCTACTGTGAATCACCATGCATTAGGCTTATATACAAGCTTCCTGTACATTAATTTCTTCAAGGGCACAAAAATGGAGATAATTTCTCATTCCTATACTGTAGTACACAAGATGAGATGTGCTGCATGTTTCACTGTGTGCAACTGATCTGATGAATTTTTCAGTACTCATGTCATAGGCATTAAACAAAACAAAATAATAGCAGTATTTTGTCTGTCTTTCTGTCTTTCAGAAATTAGCACCTGGAGTTAGTCAGTTTGCTTACACATGTGTACAGGACCATCCGATCTGGACTAACCAGCAGTTTTGGGAAACCACCTTTTATAGCAATGTGCAAAATCAAGTTCGTTCCCTCTACCTTACAGCCAAAGAAGACAACCATGCCGTACAACCTAGACAAAAGGTAGGAGAATATATTAAATATCAAGGAATAAAAAGCTGTACTATTAGTTAATGTCCCAGTTAAACCTGTTTTGACCTGGAAAGTCTCAACGTGGATGAAGAAAATGTCTAAATATTTACTTATACTCTTCTGAAAATAAATATTTCACTTTTAGAATATCAGCTTGGACTAAATGATCTTATAGGTCTTTTCCAACCTTGTGATTCTATGATTCTATGAACTTTAATGTAAATATGTTGTTTGCACATAATTTTCTGAAGAAAAAAGATGCTTTATTTTGCTAATATGCAAACACCTGAATCTCCCCTTGTTGCCTTTATGATTTTTATGTACCACCACTTTTTGTATCATTTTTACCACACTTAAAGGTGTAGCATTAGATTGTTACCAAACCCTAGACTGGTGTCTGTTGATGGACCTTTGTCTGCTTTTTAAGAACTTTTTTCTTAAACTCTCTCATGTGTTTGTCAAATTAGCTGAACTTTACCTAGTATGAAGAAAAAACATTAGTAGTATACTGTGTTCTTTAATAATTAAGAGCAGGTGTTATTTCATTTGTATCAGCAGCCAGATTTTTTAATTCTAGTTCTGTCAGGCTGCATTGTAGTTTGGATACATGCTATCTACCTACTTGGCTCCAAGCAAATGCTAGAGTTGGTCTCCAACCTGCAAAAGCATGAATGTTTCAGCTGATCTGGAAACTGTTCATGTAAAAGCTTGTCTCACCCTGGACATCCTCAAAATTGGGAGAATATCACACGCATCCAGTAATCAGCTGCATCTGATTAATGTTGATTGTTATATGAGCTAAGTAGAAACATTAAGGAGAGTGGTTATATTAAAATCATTAAACTACTCTGAAGAAACATAAAAGATAGTGTAGTATTAAAAAATCTAGAAAGAGATTATGTTACTGAGTTAGAAATGTTCACATCATGCTATGCTAGTTCTGCATTTCAGTAAGCTACCTTCAGTCCTTCACAATGCTGTAATTATACCTTTGTTAAATCCTATTGCATGTTGCTACTTGCTTTTTCTTTATAAATAAATATGTAATTTAAATAATAGAAGAATTTAAAGGAACAATTTAATTTAAAAAATTTTGACTAAACATTGTTTTGACTAAACGTTGTTTCTGAGTCTTAGCTTAGTGTGTATTTGTATGTTTTCTAGGAGAAAAATTCCGTAGGTCCAGACCACGATAAGACAGCAATGGATCTGGCTGCGGAGCAGTTGCGACTGTGGCCAACTCTTAATAAACAAACTCAACAGGAGCTAGTCCAGAATGAGGAAAGTACAGTTTTCAGTCAGGCAATTCATTTTGCTAACCTCATGGTCTACTTGCTAGTGCCACTAGATACAAGTAAGAACAAGTTATTGAGAGCATCAGCTACTGGTGACTGGGAGAGTGGAAGCAACAGTATTGTCACAAACAGGTGGGTACACACATTCACTGGTAATCCACCATGATGGGGCACTATTTTTGAGAACATACTAGTTTTCAGGACATACCCTGCATACAATCTCTTCAAGATTATTATTTCTAGATAATTAATTAAGGAGAGTAGAAACCTAACATGATTCCTCTCAAATGATAGAACTCTATCTAGACTAAATTGCTGCCATTTAAGGGAATGTAAGAATGTTATCACTTCAGTAAGAATTTTAGTCTACTAATGTGACTGTTGAAGGCAGACACTAGTGTGTGATGAGAGAGACCGTTTGTTTTTCTGTAACTTGGAAAAAAAAACCCTCATGAACCTGCGCTCATGAAAGCAGATGTATAACATCCTCGAGGTCACAGTTTTTGTGCTGTTGCAGCTTCAGGAAAGACATTTGGTCAGAAAGATGGCTATATCACTGGAGAAAATGTTAGAATACTAAGGAGGCAGGAGGAGTATAAGGAGAATTACTTAGCATACAAATCCGGATTTCATAGCAAGACTTCTTCCCTTTCTATTTACTGTCTTTATTATCAACTATGATCAGTCAAGTTTCCCACTTGATGAACTTATAGAACGCTGTATGAGGCCTCTGACATGATGTAAATAAGCTCTGGGTCTCAAACTCCCTATTGCAACTTTTTCTGCTGACGAAGCACTTCTAAAATCAAGCATTAGGATCTGATCAGTATGTAGACTGTGTATGTATGTATAGTATGTATGTGGCATATGTTACAATGCATGGATTTGACTGGCACAGCTGTTTTGGGGAGTATTTTCAGATGGTCGAAGTACATCTCCTACTGACTTGCTTGTATTTTCTAGCTGATGCACAAAAACACTGAGGTTATTTTTGCTTTTGAATGCTTTATTCTTCAACAGTAATACTCATTGAATTTATCCTTGTGTATGTAACCAAAGTATCTATTTCTGTTTTATCATGGGTTGTAAATAGCTTACATAACTTAATGACAAAGAGAAGAGAGAAAAGCTTCTAGGCAAGTGATGCTTTTTTTTTCATTGTTGACTGCACTGCACTAGATTCATGGAGTAAAAAGTCTCCTTTATTGTCATGCAGTCTGATATTGTTAATGGTGGAGGGAATACAGTGTAATTTTTGGCACCAGTGTATGTTTTCAGAAAAAGATACCGTTTAGATGTGTCCTACCCAGGTATCAGATACATTTACTAGCTGAATTGTTCACTTCTGAAATTTCTTTTTTTTTTTATGTCCATAGTATTGCAGGCAGTGTTGCAGAGAGTTATGACACTGAAAGTGGGTTTGAGGACTCTGAGAACAATGACGTTGCAAATGCAGTTGTACGCTTCATCACCAGATTTATTGACAAGGTTTGCACAGAGAGCGGAGTTACACAGGATCACATCAAAGGTCTTCATTGCATGATACCAGGTAAGAATTGTGATGAAAATGTGCATTCATAATCTTTCATTTTTCCTTTGGTTTTGTTTTTTTTTTCCTGATGGAAGAAATACACGTTTTAGTTACAGTCAACTTCCATGGACATAGAAGATTGGATTTTTTTCTAGACTATAATTGCTGTTCAATTTCAACTAACTATTTCCTTGATGGTTACATTTAAGAATTTTGGAATATTGGATTTCCAATTAGATTGCAACTTTTTCTTTCATGTTATGCCAGACTTCATTTGTGATATTACTGATTTTCAGGCATTGTAGCAATGCACATAGAGACTTTGGAGGCTGTCCATCGTGAGAGTAGAAGGCTTCCACCAATACAGAAGGCAAGTATTATGAAACATGTTTGTATTCTTTAAAAGTATTAGAATCATGCTGTTTAGTCATCTTTTTTGTTTTCTTTTATTTTCCTCTTCAGAATGTTAGAAGGAAACATCAGAACATTGTAAGAAAAATTCCACAAGTGATAAATAAAGTGCTTGGCTTTGGTCTCATGAAATATGAACTTAGAAAGCTATTAGAGCCAAATTTTTGATCATAAACAAGCTGTTGCATACCCGCTGTTTTTTGAGACCCAGTTCTCTTCGTTGAGTCCAAACTCCATCTCCCTTCTTTGGAATTAGTCTCATAACAGTTTTGTTTTGAATCTTTCTACACCAAATACAATTAGGCTGAGGTATAACACTGGTATTCCTATCATACTTACACTATTTTACTTGCATTAGCCCAAAATTCTACGACCAACTTTACTGCCAGGAGAAGAATTTGTTTGTGAAGGTCTCCGTGTGCTACTGGATCCTGATGGCAGAGAAGAAGCTACAGGAGGATTGCTTGGAGGTCCTCACATCCTCCCTGCTGAAGGAGCTTTGTTCCTTACTACCTACAGAATTATATTTAAAGGCACTCCTCATGATCAGCTGGGTAAGCAAAACTCAACAGTGACAAAACTGTGTCACTTTGAATAGATAAAATTTTGAGCTGACCTGTCCATCTATGTAAGCATCAACATCAAAATGCATCTACCTCTGCGAGTTATTTTGCATGGTCATCACATTGGTATGATCTTATGTTATAGGTTTTTACTCTAGATATGACAATATTTTATGTTTATTTTGCGTTTAACCTAACTAGAATTTATTTCTTCGAGTAAGACAACATATGTACTGTCTGTGATCTGTGACTTCCAGTACTTACTTCTTTTCATTTGACAGTTTTTTTCACTTTCAATTTTTTTTCAATTGCTGGAAGTGTGTAAAATGGAAAGAAAAAAAAAAAAAAAAAAAAAAAAATCTTAAGTTAGTAATGTCCTTAAAATTATTATTAATAAATTAAGAATTGCTTTTAATATGTTTTAAGTGGTAGTTTTTCATCTTTTGACACCTGCCATTTCTAAGCAAATTAAACTGTCTGTCAGAAGTATAAATTTATCTTTCAAAGTTTATTGTCATTTGAAAAGAAGTCAGTATAAAGCTTTCATTATTTATAAGGTGCATAATGCAATATGAACATGAATTACGTTTGGAAATGTTCATTGACCCCTTTCCAAACCGTGTTTTTGGGGTGCATTTCCAACACTCAGAAAAACTCAGAGAATATTTTTCCAACCATCCAAACTGAAAGGAAGTCAAAAAAGTAAATGCTTCAGATCATAGATGGTACTTGGGGATTTATCAACTTCTCAAGCATTTTCTGTGAAATTAATTATGTGCAGTTATTTTCCTATTGCTTTGTGTATTGTAAATCCTGTCTGCTCAGAGTACAGTGTGACCAGAACAGATCTGATTCTGTGATCAAACAAGTATCCATAAATACTATAATTCTGTGGTTCTCAGTGGGAGAGCAGACGGTGATCCGGAGCTTTCCTATTGCATCTGTTACAAAGGAGAAGAAAATCACTATACAAAACCAGCTGCAGCAAAGTATGCAGGAAGGCTTGCAGATCACTTCAGCTACCTTTCAGGTAAAAGGAAGTTTTGTGAAGTTGTGTGAGGTAGCCAGCTCAAAATACCTACGAGCAGTACTTTGCCCTGATAATGGTGAAGAGTTCAGTATCCTGCTCTATAAAGTCAGTGGAGAACATGTAGTCCTCTCATAGAAATTCCTTTTGGTTTTTTGGCTCGTTTGAAACAGTGTTAGTGTTTTCGTGTTTGGTTTCTTTCTCTCCCTTCCTCACCTTTCTGCTGTGGATCCAGTGAAGGGCTATTCTGAGTCCAAAATATCTTCATGTGGGTAAGCAGAGGCCAGGCAGGCCAGTGGAAGACTTCTCACTTTACTAGCTTTCTGGAAAAATGTGTAATGGAGGGTCATAGTACGTCTCATTTGGAATCTGCCCTTCCAGAAATCTTTAATGTAGCCATTAGTAGCCAGATCCAAAGGGCTTCTGCGTGAAACCTCTTGACTTTTGCACAGATTCAGGTATTCTGTCTTCAGAGGCTTCCTCAACGTGTTCAGAATGCTCAGAATCTGCTGTGGAGCAGTTGACGGAGATGGACTTGTAAGAGTGAGGGGTCATTAATTCTCTTAAGCCTTCCCTAAATGTTTCTTATTGGTGGTAATCTAACATTGGTCAAATCGTAAGAGATCGAAAGTTGAAAACAAAGGATTTAATATCACAGACCGAAAGCTGACTTTAGAGCTTAAGAAGTGAAATATATCCTCAGGTTAGCCAACTTTAGAGACGTGTTTTCATTGAGAACAACAGTCTCTTTTCAATGTCTGAAAATGAAATACATAGTCAGTATTTTACTGGTTCCTTAGATAGCAAACAGTATTTATTTAGTCATCCTTCAATGTCGTATTCAAGAGCATAGGACTCAGAATAACAAATAAGTAAAACAACTCAAAAAAAAAAAAAAGTTCTTGTGGACTTTTGACTGGACTTACTGAGAACTTTTATTTTCCAGAATTTTTTTTTACCAGGATAGTTAGCATACTTCAATGATGTGCTAAATGCAGGCATAGCTCAATGCTTTCAGTGCTGGATTCTGGTCAAACATCATCCCTGCTTTTGTTTAGCATAGTTTTGTGTTAGGTTATGAAAACAAAAACGATCAGGAAACAGTTTACTTCTGTTCCTTTTCTAAGTGCTAGAGTTCAATGTAGTATGAAATAGCAAGCCCTATCTTTGTTTATTAATTAAGACTTTCAGAGTGTTTTGGCTGCAGTGATGCTATTTAATGTCTTTGAAACTTTGTATCAGTGTAACCCCTGAACATTCAAGCATTCCTCTTAAGGAGGTCTTTGAGCAACATTCTCATTTGGAATTCTTTTTCATTTGGAAAATAATTACAGAACAGAACAAGTGAAATTAAAAACAAACAAACAAACATGGAGAAATCCACCTTCTAGGTGACAAAGACAAACAAGACAGTCAAAAGGTGTATAGGTAGGCAGTCAAAAATAAAGGTCTAGAATACATCTTTGTTTACTTTTTCCGTGTTCTTCAAGCTCTTTCATGCCATCTTCCAGATTCCCAATTTTCTCTCTTAATTTTTTTAATTTCCTTTTCACAACAGAGCTGACTCATCTTTTGACTAAGAGTGATATAAATATATATATGCGTATTTAAATAACTTTTCAAAAAGCATTTTTAATGGGATAAATAGATCGGTGTTGAATAGCACAGGATTAGTTACTTTCCAAGGATCTGATTTCACTGTTACTAGCTGTTTGTTACTAGCTGTTTTTATGCTTTTGGAGGTGAGGCAAAAATTGGAATAACTAAATATTGGAAGTATAATGGTTTTGATATATGAAATCTGAATTTACTGCCTTTATTAGAGTAAATTACCAATTTTGCTTCCCTATATATAGCAAATCTGATAAAATATTTCTGATCTGAGCTATCCCATGTGACTAGCACTTTAAATGTTGTGGATATTGTAGTGCCAGTACATCCACGTAGATTACCCAAAATATTTTGTGTTTGGTGTTATGAGAATTCCAGATGCTTCATGGTGAAAATATCTTAGTATTACAACATCAATACTAAAAGCGAGTAAAAAATTGAACGAGCTGTATAATATCCCTCAAAACCAATAAGATATACCTACATACATATATTTGTATTTTCTGATGTGCATTGTACTGCCTAAGTATGAAGAATATGCTAATATGTTTTAGAATCTTTTGATTTGTTGAATCCTGGAAATTTATTTATTTTGTAAGTTCCTAACGTGCTCTGTCTTTAATATGCAGTTAATTAAAGTAGCATTTGATGAAGAAGTAAGTCCTGAAGTGGTGGAAATATTTAAGAAACAGCTAATGAAGTTCCGTTATCCTCAGTCTATCTTCAGCACTTTTGCATTTGCAGCTGGACAAACAGCACCACAGATAATTTTACCAAAGCAAAAAGAAAAGAACACTTCATTCCGGTATTCTTCTATCACTGATGTTCTTGTTTACTTCTAGTCAAATTCCTTAAATAATCAGACAGGTTTTCAGAACTTCGAGCATCTAGTTAGCTTGACATTCCAGAGAACTGACAAAATGATATTCCCTGTCTTTTAATGTTTACAGAATAAAAGGGAGGTTGGTATGAAATAAATGTTGATATAAGAATGTATTATTTATCCTAACTTATTGCTGCAGCAATTTTGAACAAGTATCTAATTACATTTTTGAATACATACAATATTAATAACATATTCAATTGTGTGAACTATGCCACCATAAAAACAGAGTTCTTGTGTGTTCAATTATGTATTAGTGGACTGTAGAGTAGAATTCATTTTTCCCTTAGTAGACTGTATAGTTGCCCCAGTGTTCTTTTATCATCTAGAGTTTCAGCTTTGGGTCCTCTCTTAAATTTCATGTTATACATTAATTTTTACTAGACTAGACTGATCATTGTTTAGTACCCCTGAAAGTGGTACTTTCAGTGATTCTATGTTGATTATTGCATTGCAGACATATAGAAGTAGAATCCCAAGCTAGTCATAGAAACTTAAAACTTTAAGGTAATTTCTGTCTTTCTTGCCTCACGCTGTCAGTTTCATAGATCTGTTACATTGCTAGCAAAATATGAATACCTGAACAGATATTATGGCTGCCTATTCATTATATTACACGTAATAGGCATAAATTGCTCTCGAAGTAATAAAAATAGCATTTAAAAGTTGGCATAGGAAGTCATTTTTCTGTTGGTTTTTATTTTGATGTAAAACAAGAAATAGAAATGTGTTTTCTTTGAGTAAAGAAGTTTGTCGTAAAAATCTATACATGCTATTGAGAAGAACATATCTATCTATTAAAAGATTTTTTTTTTCTATGAATTTATAGTACCTTCTCAAAAAGCATTGTGAAAGGAGCAAAACGTGCTGGGAAGATGACAATTGGTCGCCAGTATTTGTTAAAGAAGAAGACGGGCACAATAATGGAAGAAAGAGGGAATCGTCCAGGGTGGAATGAAGATGATGATGTCTCTGGTAATAGTAAAACAATTTCCATTTTTGTTGATATGTCTATCCTGTCACGCTTCAATTTCAATATGTTAGGTGAGTAGTATCTTCAAGAAGAAATTGCAGTCTTCCTGGACAGGAAGGTGAAAGGTTTCAAACAGTGCACTGATTAAACGTTTTGTGACGACTGAACATACAGGGTGAAAGAGGAAGCTGTCTTCATTCAGTGGTAAAGCAAAAGAGGCTTTTTTTCTAATTGCCAAACTATTTTCACATAATATCCTTAGAAAGCCTGACATTGCTTTGTCTGTAATGAGAAAGCAGTAATTGGCGAGGTTCAAGGAACTGGAAGTATTTTATGGACAAATTTTGTCTATGTGGAAGTGATCAGTGATTTCTGAAGACAGCTGAAGACTTAATGACTGAAAATACCATTTTTCCAAACTTTGGTTGGAAGGAATTGGGGAGATAAGTTAGAAAGTGATTTGGACACTTTGTATAGCGCAATGGTGTGGACTTTGACTTTCTTCCAAATACTTCTTTTCCTACCATGTGCTGCTGTCAGTATATCCTTATCTGGACCAGTGCTAATTTATAATAAGCCACTAGAGGGAGCCAGATTCTCCTGTACATTAACAGGTATTGTTTTGTCGTACCATTCTTTCTTTAAAAAAGAAAAAAAAAAAGTAGCATTTCAGATAATGAAGTGTTTATGAAACATCAAACAAACCAAATTTACCTTCCGGATATTTGGTCAGAGGTCAAGGTGACTTACATGATTTATGTACAGATAAATAAAAGTTGTCTGACACCAAGCTATGTTGCTGCACATTCTCTGTTCTCTCCCAGAGTAAAAAGGGCCATTCCAGGAAAGCTGAAAAATACTGGTCCTCTTCTTTCATTCCAGATAAATATGGTAGAAAAAAAGGCAGGAAAAAGAAAGGTTATGAAATACAGAATGTCTTTACACAGCTGAGAAGTTACATTCTTAATTGAATTTCCAGCCTCTTCCTTAAGTACTGAGTTACTATGTGTTCTAATGTTGTGGAATCTTCAGCTCAGAAGGAATTCTGCAAACTAAGCCTGTCCTGGGTGTGATTTTGTGTCCATCACTCAGAGAGACCAAGTATAAGCAAGCCTGTATGTTCGTACTTCTCATGACAATGAAGAAATCCTAAGAGTTTCTGCATTGCCTGTGTACGAAACAACTATATTCTTCTGTGAGCATGTAACTATTAATGACAGTTTATTCTTCCCCTCACCTGGCAAAAATACAAAAAGATAAATTGCGAGGCTTCCTACCTGCTGCTTTCCAGATGCTGTGACTAGGTATGTGTAAGGCTATTAAAGTCTGACAGCTTGCTTTTTTTCCCTGCACTGCACTGTCATTCGAGCTGTAGTCCTCCTCATTTCAGACAAAGTACAAATAGCCATAGAAAATTTTCTGTTAATCAGTGCAATTTGTTTTGTATTGATTGCTGCAAATTCCTCTGTGTTTGCAAGCCTTAAAAACTGAAGTTTAGGGAATTATGCAACTATACCAACAGTGAAACAAACAGAGCTGTCTGCAGCAGGTGATGCATTGTCTTGTAAAAAGAAGGATTAAAGATGGGGTCAGAAGGACCATCTTTCTGATCCAAGGCAGGAGCAACATGTTCTTCATAAATGCTTACCTAACTTTTTCTTAGCTTTCAAAGATGAAGATTCCATAACTCCAGGCTATATATTCTGATGCTTTAACCACCCTTAATGCTGGAGGAAAGCAAGCAACTTTCTGATGTTCTGACCTAAACTTCTCCTTGACACATTTTATATCATTCACTTTTTATTCTGTGAATATGTACATGTAAAAGGGATGACTGCCTTAATTTGAATTGCAGTTTTTTGGAATATTATAATGTTTCCTTTCTCTTTTCTTTTCTGGATATTATCTATAGTTCTTCTCAGTCAGACTTCATAGAATTCTGAGTATCTTCATCTCTCTTCTCTAGATTGTCTTTAACTAGTCCACATATAATTTCAGTTTCATTTCCAGAATTGGGCACTCTAGATAAAAATTATTGCTAATGAACACCTGGGTTTTTCCCCCCTCCATTGCCTCCTAATCTTTATATTTTCTGAGAGTTTTGAATGACACTATTACTAAAATCTGTTTTCTGTGGGTGATCATAGTAATATATTCCAGAAAATAGGAGGCCATCTGTAAAGTATTGCTTATACAATCAGTCATATCTCAAAAAGAGTAAAATAAAGGGTCTCTTCCTCATGTTTTCAAAATTAAATGAAGACAAAAGGCATTTAGAACTTGAGATAGAACAGCATCTTCCCTTTTCAAGTTAACAACCCTGATATGAAATCTTATAATCTCTAGCTTTTTACACCTACAGGGAAATGGTTTGTAAATTGTAATATCCAACCTAGCTGCTTTCATTTCACAAAAGAGCATTTTGGGGGGAAAAAAATTGAAAAATGCACCCTAGTTTTATCTAAGACAATACAGCATTCAGAACTTTTAAATACCGAGCTTCTGTATTCCCTAAAATAAAATTATTTCAAAATCTTGTTTAATTCTTTTCTCCGAGTGCACTTCATAGTTTTACATACTTTGTAACGTCTTTCTTCTTCTTCAGGACAAATATGAAAATATAGAAAAAGAGGAGATATCCATAGCATTGAAGTCTTGATTATTTAGCTCAAATAGGGAATAGTTGTTTTTGCACGATGCACCATGAGGACAATAAAGTTATTCAGGTAGCTTTTATGATAATATGCACAAAAAACAGAGGTATCTAAAATGTACTTCTGTAAATTCTGAATGTTATCTGGTGTTATCATAATTTTAATTTTCAATTTTATAAAGTCCTGTTTAAAGTTTAAATCTTATGTACTTCTCAGTGCCAAATTGTTAAAGAAATGCTTCCTCTCAGATGTGCATACTTTAATGCTTGAGATGAAATGATAGCAACTGATATCTACTGCAGACAGTAAATCTGCTTTCAGTATTTGGAAATAGTGAAGTGTTGACAACAGGCAGGTGGCAGATTTTGTACGAAGACCTTGCTTGACTTGAATTTCATTGTAGTTTGAACTTGTGGCATGGTTTTTATCTCATGATTAGAGGTTTTTCTGCTTTGGAATATGAAACTGATGTGCATGGCTGAAGAAAGTTGCTGTTCAACATTGAAACCGAAGCATTAAGAAGCCAACATTCACCTACTCGTGAAAGAAATATTTTTATTTTAACCAAGCTTTAAAAAGGTTGTTTTATCTTTTGAAGACAGTTTAGAAGAATTAGGAAATCAATTTTATCTTGGATGTTTCATGAATTTGTGCTCATTTTTAATTATGTCTGAGGGACATCTGTCTCTTGTACATCTTTGTACTGCTGTTGTTGAGTTTGGCTTGTTTGAATAAATATACTAGTGCAGGAAATACTGCCTCAGTCTGTTCAAGCGATCGTACAGGAGACCTTTTTCTGGAATTTTAACATGAGCGAGGTGTCAGCCATGCTGACTGTTAGGGCAGTAGGTAGCTGTGAGAGGAATTTAAGTTTCTTGACTGAAGTATTATTTTGTTGCTTATAATTCCTGTAAGCTGTAGTTTATATTTATTAATCATTAACAATAAGACAAACTAATAATAAGTTCAGAAAACAGCATTGTTTTTTGCAACTGCTGACGTTTGCAATAGTGAACTCAAAGATCTTCAACTTCAGTTTCAGATGACAGTGAGCTGCACACAAGTGGTACCCTAAAAGCATCGGAGAAGTCAACAATGGAGCAGTTGGTAGAAAGAGCCTGTTTCAGAGACTATCAACGTTTGGGACTAGGGACCATCAGTAGTAATACTTCTCGCTCAAAAATGGAATACTTGAGAATAACTGCACTGAACAGAATGTATTCACTTTGCAGAAGGTAAGTTTACCAATTCAGACAAGCGTTTGGAAATAAAGGTGGTGTGAGCACAGTGAGGTGGTAGGTGGTGTGCTTCAGCAGTGATGACAATGACAGTGGGTCATCTCCACTGGTCCAGGTTGTTACAAGAGTGTCATGAAGGCTGTTGTTTTTGGCTAATGAAAACATATAGCTAATGGTGGTGACTATGTTGAAAAAATGGTACTTGGTAGCTGAGAATTTTCTCTGTCAAGTAGTGTCAATGTATCTGTTGCAGTTTCCATATAAATGTAGGAGGCATTACTTTTGGAGCAATCTAGATACGTTCGGCCTGAAATTATAGGATTTTTTTTTTAATTGCTTACAAATTTGAGAGCAGATTTAATTGTTGTTGTGGTTTTTTTCTTTTCCACTTGTCAATACAGTTACCCTGGGCTTCTGGTAGTACCTCAGTCTGTTCAAGACAGCAGTTTGCAGAGAGTTGCTCGCTGTTACCGTCACAATCGCCTACCAGTGGTGTGTTGGAAAAACACCAAAAACAGTTCTCTTCTACTTAGATCTGGGGGCTTTCATGGCAAAGGTGTTGTTGGCCTCTTCAAATCCCAAAACACACATACTACAGGTGAGCTGATGCAGCCAGGTTTTATTTATATATATATATTTCTAAACTAAACAACGTTTGTGTGCATATATATATGTATATATTGAGAAATTTTTATTAGTTTATTTATTCCTGGAGGAAATCAGGGAGATGATTTAATCAAAAGTCCCAGGATATGGATGTTTTTCTGATACTGTAATAGTACAGTATAACGTATGTCAAAAATCAGACCATGAATAGTATGAAGGTAGTTCGAAAATGTCAGTTGAAAGCTAAACAGAGATTATGTATAAACTAGATAGTCTTCAGTAAAAGCTGCCGCCTGCCAAATGCAGTGTCTCAGAGAATAAAGTATCTTATTTTCTAATAATTCTCTGTCTGCCTGTTAGATCTAATGAGTGTATGTAGTAAATTTTAATTACAGAATCACAGAATGGCCAGGGTTGGAAGGGACCTCAAGGATCATGAATCTCCAACCCCCTTGCCACATGCAGAGCATCCAACCTCCCCATTTCATGCCAGACCAGGCTGCCCAGGGCCCCATCCAACCTGGCCTTGAACACCTCCAGGGATGGGGCATCCACAGGCTCTCTGGGCAGCTGTTCCAGCACCTCACCACTCTCTCTGTAAAGAATTTCCTCCTGACATCCAACCTAAAACTTCCCTCCCTCAACTTAAAACCATTTCCCCTTGTCCTGCGGTTATCTACTCTTTCAAAGAGTTGATTCCCCTCCTGTTTGTAGGCTCCCTTTAGGCACTGAAAGGCTGCAGTGAGGTCAACCCACAGCCTTCTTTTCTCCAGGCTGAACAAGCCCAGCTCCCTCAGCCTGTCTTTGTAGGGGAGGTGCTCCAGTCCCCTGATCATCTTTGTGGCTCTCCTCTGGACCCTCTCCAACAGCTCCCTGTCTTTCTTGTACTTGGGGCTCCAGGGCTGGACACAGTACTGCAGATGGGGCCTCACGAGAGCAGAGTAGAGGGGGACAATCACCTCCCTGTCCTTGCTGGCCACCCCTTTTCTGATGAAGCCCAGGATACCATTAACTATTATATAAAATACTAGAATAAACGTTATCCATTAGGTTTTCTGATGTCTTTCAGTGTGATATTAGTTTTATTTTTATCTTTCTTTTGTAAAGCATAGATCTGAAAGATTCTCTTTGGGTCTTTTTATTAATTAAATATTTGTCAGACTGGTTAAATTTTCAGAAGAATATAGCATATTCGGGCAAATTTAGTTTTGGAAAGGGCATGAGTCAACTTTCATCATTAACCTGCAATATGAAGGACAATTCTTGTGACTGCCTGAATTTCTGTGTCTTATGCTGATGGTTGCTTGGGAGTTAATTTCATTCCAAAAGTGAATTTGTTATGTATTGTATAGTTTGCCTTAGGGAAATTTTCAAAAACTTAACAAGCATGCTATGCAAATAAGTGCAAGTTGGATATAGGTAGATTGAAGACTCATGACATAAGATAGCTTGATTTACAAAGTCCTTCAGGTGAAATTTTGCTTTTTTAAATATCTTTGTGAAATCATCATTTTCATTATTTTTGAAGAACAGTTATTGTCTGACACAGTATTTAGCTGCATCTTTTTTTGTGTGTATCAAATTCACCTTAAAAATCACAAAATCTCAGAGATATTACAAGAAAAACTTTTTTTTTTTTTTCCCCTTCAGTCAATGTCTTGACTGGCTGTTAATGTTAACTTTTGAATCACTAGTCCAAACATTCAGTAGTGTAGCTTTGATTTAGCGCATCTCTTTTCTGGTCTGCCTGAATGTATTTTAATTGAAAGGTAATACACTGAGTTTTATATAATACTTTTTTTTTTATCTTGAAAAGATTCTTAAAATGTGCCAGTGAAGTACTACCAGTAGTAAAGTAGTAATTGCCACACTTGAGCTTTGCCAGTCACTCCACAGGCTTCAGATGTGAATCTGAAGCATGATAATTCAAATGCTGGTCTTATCAGCTGGCTCTTTACTGATAGTCTTAGGTAAAAAAAAAACTGGCCAGCCATCTTTAACCTGGCATAAATAGACTCAATTGCAACAATTTTGCAGAGATAGTCTGCAAGTTATATAAAGACAAATACTTCCGTATTCTCTGCAGTAGGTTAAATTTCTGTGTGCATGAGTGTGGAAGAGTCTTCCAAAACAAGATCACAGTCTCTTTTAGTGCATTTCTTATCTGTAGTCTTGTTGGTTTTTGTTTTTGTTTTTGTTTTTTTTGCAGTTTTCTCTTTTTAATTTTACATAGTTTTTTTTTAGCATGTCACCCTCATATTTCTGGTAGTATGTTAGGAAGCAGTCTGTTTGACACAGTGTCTGATATGTCAGATGTTAGTTTCCACTTCCTTTAAAAGAAGAATTGGAGACTCCTCAGGATGTTACTGTGAGGGTAATAAAAAATGTTTATAGGATACTTATTTTTAATGAAGTTGAAGCTTGGTGAAATAAAACATTTTGAGAAACTGATCACTAGGGATAGTTATGCGCAGGTGAATGTATTTGCTTCAGCAGGAGTTGTGTACAATGCAGGGTCTGTACTGAAAATGCACTGTAACACAACCTAAGACAACAAAGATAATCTTAAATTCAAGTTGGTAGGTACATACCTTCCTTAGCAGAGATTCTGTAGAAGATTTTTTATCCAGCAGTTCTGGATTGACTGACAGAAATGAAATGGACCTGCTGCAAATTAATGTTTATGGCCTTCTGTTACATTGTATGTTAAGCAGTTTTTCATCTTTAAAAGGCAATTGAGATCAATTGTTTTTATTAGAAGCCCAGAATTTATTTTCTGGAGAAACTAGGCACGGTAGTGAATTGTTCTATGGAACTGAACCATATGCAACAGAATTGTATTTTTCTAACTTCTGTTCATAAAAAATTATTAACAGATGTCTGAATATGGCATAGAGAATATACTGGTCTTTTCAGAAGTTCCTTTAAACTTGTAGAGTGGTTTCTGAATTCCACTTTACCTGTTTTGGAAATTAATTTGCAGAGTGCTGCAGTGCTGTAGTTCCAAGCATGACATTCTACACCTAAATACCAAGTGTTGGTCTTCTGCCGTGTAGGAAGACCACTTCTGTTTGTTGTAGGTAGAAGCACTGTTTAAGAGAAGAGCTTTCTTGATACAAGCAAGGGTTGTGCCCACTTATATCTATAATGCAGTAAAAGCATAAACAGTGATGGTTTTTAATACAAGTGTACTTTGAGTGGGTAGGCAACAAATCTTGAAGAACCTCCACTTGTGGTTAAATAACCTGCCTTTACTGTCTGATTTTCACTTATTTTCATAGAAAAAACTGTTCTGCCTGTTCACTACACTTTTTTTTTTTTTTAAGGCTGACATTTACTGAGCCGTATCACAAATGTACAAATGTTGCTCTTTATTCTGAGGGGGAAGAAAAAGTTTCATTCTGTTTTTGTTGACCATTGCTGAATGATGAATGTTTTAAATGGTTACCACAGGGTAACAGACTCTTTTAGAAGCTTAGCTTTGTGAAGTGGAATGCAAGACAACATTGCTGGGTGTGCTCTACAGCCAGGTGATGAACATCTGGGCATTCTTTGTTATCAAAGAAATGGCTTTTTGAACGTACGATGAACAAACCATGAATTTTCAATGAACTGTTTTAGTAAGCGTTTTCTTTTTCTATTCTGTGTACTTATAAATGTATATGTATTTTAATGTATTCCATTCTTCCTGTGACTCTATTTAGCTCCTGCTTCATTAGAATCTTCAAGCAGTATAGAACAGGAAAAATACCTTCAAGCCTTACTGAATGTGATATCCGTCCACTGCAAAATGAATAGCAGTAATACTCTCACTGTTAGACCAACAATTGCTCTGTCACCAGGTAAAATTGTTTTGTGTACTGTTTTTGTGTTAAGTCAAAAAGTGAGAAGGGAATCTTCTCGGATTTGGTGTTAGTTCAATTTGTCTCATATGAATTCTGTTGTTTCTTTTATTGCTACACTTCTCAGGTAGTTTATTCACTCTTCATTTTAGTGAATGTGTTCTCTATTTGTAAAGGATGTTTTTAAATTTTCCCAAAGTATTCTTCTATATTCTTAATCTGACAGTAAGTGATTCGCAGCCTCAGTCCTTCAGAATATCAAGATGTAACAACTCTCCAAATTGGTGGGTTGTTTTTTTTACATTATCACATGAAACAATTTCTTTATATATAACATAAGACAAAAATGCACTTCAATGTGCTATATAACAAACTAAACATCTTGAAAACTCTATGGAATAAGAGACAGCCACCCTGAAGAGACTGTGGAATGCTACTCTATTTTTTATATTTTTATATATTTTTATTTTTATACTCTGTATCTATTTTTATACTACATAATTAGAAAATAAAAGATTGCAATGTTGGATTCTACATAAAGAAAAGTACTACAACAGCAATGGGAGGCATATGGGCATTTTCATGTGTTACATGTAGTATTTTAATGCCATTTCTGCATAGAACTTTACTTGCAATGAAAACCCTTTCAAAAGACATTACTTAGGTAAATATTTTATTTCAATTATTATATGATGAAACTTGATAAGGTTTATGTGAAAGTATCCCCACAGTCTTAAAAAGAAAAGAATGCAACTTGAAATTGTGCCTGTCTTGCCATATCCAATTGGTGGAAATTTGTGTAATAGACCCAAACAGTGGCTTCTCTTGTGAAATGACACTGTTTCCAAAGTGTGGATGCTTTGCTTCATGTATTATAAAATATGTTGATTGCTTATTTGTATCTAACATCTTCATTCTGTTGCCAGTGTATACATCTGTCTTAAAAAAATGTATCAGAAGTAGAAAATTGGCAAGAATTATCTGTATTAAGGGTGGAAAAAAATGTTTTCATCATTTATATTAAGTTTAGTCTGAGTAACACTGTAGTGTTTTTAATCTTCTATTCTTTTTTTGGCTGACTTTAGGCACTGAAAGGAGGGCTTCAAGAATGTCTACTGTGTTTAAGCAGGTAGTGCCAGGACATTTGGATGTAAATCTATCCAATAGCTTTGCTCGAGGAGGTTAGTAAGACTAGCTCATAGTCTTAGCACCTTTGTTATTTGAAATAATAAGTGATAACAAAATGTTAGTGAAATTAAAAGTAATTAACTGCTTACAAATTTATTACATTATGAAACAACAAAACAGAAATTACAGATTAGCCTCAATCCATAATATGATATAAGTATCTAATTTTTGTTTTAGTCCTTCACTTACCATTGAAATAAAGGTTTCATTTCATGATGGAAATTAGTGGAAAAATAATCACTCAGGAGTTACATTTTTAAATACCTTGTGATTTATCCATAGTTTTAATTTACTTGAATTGTATGACCTAAAAAGACACATTTTACATTCGAAGTGAATGGACTTTAGAACCTACAATTCTGTAATTTGTAGCAGCCTGGCATTTGACTGAAGGTTAGCTGACACTTCAGCAAGTTACAAATAATCTAGACAATTTAAGTAAAGGAAGGAGTTACACTGCTGTGCCTTCTTTGGGAAGGTGTCATTTTTACAGGAAACTCCTCCTGTGATTTCCAGCTGCTTTTCTAGTCTGATGAATTTATGATCATCTTTGTGCACTTACGTACCTAAATCAGTGTGGTGAATTCCCTAGGTACATTATGTATTTGTTAGAGCTGAAGGCTACTGAAGAAGTATTTTTACATATATAAAAGTTGCTTTTCTTCCTTTATGAATCTACTAGAGTTCATGGAGGTGAAAAAACAGAGAGATAGTAATCAAATAGGTAAAATGCCTGGGAACCAGAGAGGAGCTTAGTAGTGTCTGGAATTGTTAGAGAAATCGGTGGCTGTGCACTGCTTCTGTCAATAATGTAATAGTGAAAATGTTGGGTAGCTGACAGCAGATGTTTGGTTGTTTTCCCTTTCCTCACGTTAAGGCAGAAGTGCCAACAGCAAAGTGCCAGTGAGAACCCATGAAGATGCCCCAGATGAAAAAAAGACAGAAAGGATTACTGAAATTACCTGTTTCTGGGATTAGAGTTTGTTGTTAATGTGGCACGGTGAGCTTCTCAGTGAGGGAAAAGGAGTCTCAAGTCAGATGTTTTTTTGTTGGAGATTGTCTCTTGGCTAGATTTCAGCAGTAATCAGGACAAGGGCAGGAAAGTCACCTTATATCTTGCTGGACTAATGCCACACCTGCTCTGTGTATCCCAAAGATGTAACTATAGACCAGTATCTGCAGTCTGTTCACAGTTTAGCAGGAGTACTTTGCTGAAACATAAGAATGCTTAACAAGGACAGTGGGAGCTCTAGTGAGGGTGAGAAAATGACAAGAAAAGGAAAGGGAATATTTTCCTGTACAGAAGCAAACATGAGGGTTTTTTTTTTAGGTTAGCTAATAGAATTATTTAAGAGGAAACTATACAGTACAAGCTAAATATTAAACCTAAAATTGCTCATCTCAAATAAGTGAAATTTTTGCTGCTTTTGCAAGTTACTTACACTGTGCATGTGAAGTTATGGGAACAAACTTGTTTTATGCAGACAGTCTAAAGTGATTCTTCTTTGTATTCCTCAGAATAACTCAAAAAGCAACAAACAAATAAACAAAAAAATGCCACCAAATGCTCATCACCAAATAAAAAACAAAACAAAAGCAGTGAGAAGAGCTAATTACTTTATCATAGCAAGCAGCTTGTTAATATCCTTCATGAAAGTCAGAACTTTACTCAAAACTGTATACCTTTCCTTACATTACTTGATAACAATAGTGTGGTTCTAAAGAGGAACAATTGTTACCTGGCACTGGTGTGTAATTAATAGACTAAAATGCTTTATCTGAATGATTTGCTGGAAAATACTAGGATGTTTATAATGAATAAATATAGACTCAGTCATTTGTTTTAAAAGCAGGATATGTTGTCTTTGAGTATGTTTTAATAGAACATTTATATAAAAGGAAGTTGACCACGTAGACGTGGCTTTAAAGCCAAAAAGATCCTTGTATGCTCTGATAAGATTTCCACTGAATATGAGTATTTATGCAAGGGATGTGGGGGGGATTTTTTTGTCTGATAGATACTAGAAGTTCTCTAAATTATATGGTCTTACACAGTCCTTTAAGAATTTGTGTAGGTGTATAGAACTAACATCTTACATTCCAATTTGATTTTAAGGTCCTTTAAGTTACCTACTTACAATAGACTGAAACAGCTTTTAGAAGGTGCTCTGCAGTGCGGGATTTTTAATTAAGCTATTTCAGCTGGTGGGAAGCTTTCAATAAAGGATTCAGCTGAATTATGTAATTATTGAGTATCCGCTTTATTATAGATTATTAAAAAACCACCTGATGGCTGTGTTATGTGTTTAAAACCACTGCAATTGCAATGAAAAATACTCCTTTTTGATAAACAGATCCTTCCTTCCCACTTTATGCTGGTTTTCTATCTTGACTGATGTTTTGTCTTGTGATGACTAAGATGTGTACTATCTGATGTATAATGTACTGTAAAGGAATCCAGTATGTACTAGATCTTTGGAAATTAATACGTAACCCTTTTCTTTTCTCCTGCAATGTGTCTTGCTGCAATGTGCCTTGCTGCAATGTGCATTCCATTCCTCCTCCTTCTGTCTTTACTGTTTATCTGCCAGTGCTTGGGTACAGAGATAAATGTTTCACTCATTCCAATCCCAAATCAGCAACTAAGGGAAGAGTCCATCAAGGTACTGTACTCTGTGTCCTGGATGCACATTCTTATTTACTGTGTCCATAACCACTACTATATTTTAATATATGCTAAAGAAATACTGTCACAGAACCTTAACTCTAAAAGCATTAACAAACTTTGAGGGTTTTTAGGCTTATCAGATTTTTACGTTATGGTTTTGTTATGTTTTGGGTTTTTTGGTTTCTTTTGGACATTGAATGCATGATGAAAAGACGGTTAATAGCCACACACTTCAGTATTTTATGACTTAGTAATATTATGATCTCATGCAAAAGAACGTACAATTTTTAAGTTCTTCCAAAAGAACGTTTTTCTGTGCAAAAACAAAAGAGCAGCAAAAAAGAATTTAATACTCCTACTGCTTAAGTAGAACATTTAACAAATACCATTACCCAATCAGTGAACTTCCTTTCCAGAATTATTGGTATTTTTCCTAACCAGGGAAAAATTGATTATGCCAAATTAGGAACTTATGATAATATAATGAAAATGAAAGACTAAATAAAATGAAAACTAGATGATGGTAACAAAAAATGGCATACTAGGCAAAGTTAGAAAATAGTTATCCATCAGTGGTATATATGTTCATCTGTATGTATTTGTAGCTAGTTTTGTTGTTTTTGTTGTGCTACAGGCATTGGTAGAATGTTAGAAATGTATGCACTGTCTGCTGGAACTAATGTTTTTTCAAATCAGATGAACAGGACCTTAATTCTTTTATTAAATGCTTGCTGTGAATTCTGTTAGTGTGATAAAATCTTCTTTCTGTTGATTGTTTTAGTCCAGTGGAACAAAACTTTGCAGTAAACGCACTACTATGTGAGGTGTTTTATAAAATTGGGTGTTCCTGAGATTGAAACTGTTCAGAACTATTAACCAATTCTTAAGTTTCTAACCAGTCATCCTTAGTTAATCCTATTCATTTGATCACATCTGATACTGGGAGCCAGTCAGGCAGACAAACTAAAATGTATTACTGTGATTACTGTGTAGAGTTATTCTTAAAATGCAGAACCTTGCACATATCACATTGGACTTGCAAAAACGGTCATACAAAATCCAGAAAATACCTACTGATCTCTTCTTGTGAGGCTCAGTAGGCCTTGACAGTCTGGTTTGTTACTACTTTATCTGAAGTTGAAATCACAGAACTTATGGAAGCATAAAGAGATCAGAGCACATCTGTGTCATAGGAATTCCCTCTGGAAATAATCATGTAGCTGCATCAGCAACAATATGCAACCTAAAATGTTGAGAGGCTGAGCTTATTAGGTTAACACAATGCCATTCAAATGCAGCTGTGCTGCTTTCAGATGCAAACCTGTGGTTCCATGTCCCACTCCGCTGTTCCTTATGTGTATTCAAGATCACACTGTTCCTAATCTGTGAGACTTCTATACCATGCCCTGCTGCCGGAGTAATAGAGATCTTAGTGCCAGAATAAAACTGTAGAACTGTGATCTTCTAGGTAGACAACCTTCTCTCTGCTCTGACAACTGTACTGTAATCACATCTGCTACAATACAGTTGTAAATAACATGATTTTTCAATGTAAGGAAGTACCTTACATTCATTTCTATTTTTAATGAACCATTAGACATGGTAAAATGAAAAACCATGGCATTCTACATTTTAATCACTCTAGCTGAAGGGCAGATGTATCATTGTATATTTGTTTTCCATTATAATAGGTTACTGAGCTTGTTACTAGATTGTGTATGGTGAAGGGAACACGTATTCTAGAAAGAAGGGTATTTTAAGTGATAGTATCTCCATTTTTGAGGGACGTGATTATATAATATAGTTGGACATTCAAAATAATAAGGAAAATAACAAGGAAATAGGAGAATTTTTTGTCTGTACTTCTGAAAAATACCCAGCAATTTCATTTTCATGTAATTAGTTTCTTGCTAACTGTGGCTTATGTTATCACTTACCAATTTCTCTACAGTAGAAAGCATTGTTTGATTAGAATGACAGTCCAGTAGGATGATTTTGGCTATTTTTGGTATGATTTCTTTCAAGTGCATGTCATTCATTGCATCCTATGATGAATGTGAGTGACGTGTTTAAACACTGTGCTTTCTAAATTATGTTGTTGCGTATGCATTAATAATTAGCATCTCTTGCCTTATACAAATTGTTTCTAAAGTATTTTTTGTCTTAATGAAGGTGTATGGGCCAGTCTTCGTTCAAGCAACCGATTTATCAACGCTCAGACTCCATTCATTGATGTTGGTGCAAGACTTGCAGGGAAAGATAATGCCACTTCCTACAGTAGCACTTTTTTGCAAAGTCAGCTTTTGAGACGTCAAGCAGCCCTGTATATATTTGGAGAAAAATCTCAGTTACGGGTAATGGCAGTTTTATTTTTCTTTACATAGTTTTCATTTGGCTTGATTTTGATAACCCTAACTTATTTTAACAAACGGTATTCTAGATAAGATGGATGGATAACACTTCTTAAGGTGTAAACTTTCATGGCTATTTTAGGTAGTGTTCTCAACACGGACGTGTTCACCTTTTAGTTCCATTTTGCTGTGATCTGTATTGCTATACAAATAGTAACAATTAATGCCCTAAAACATGCTGGGGGTTAGAAATCATACTTTGCAGTTACATAATACAGCAAAGTTAATGTGAATAAAAACTTACTATATTTTTTTAAAGAGCTATACAACAGGTACAAACTCATGTAAGTTCTGTCACTAGAGTCCTGCTTGTCACTTTTCACAAAGTGCTCTAAGAGATACGAAGATGTGTAATATAATGAGAGGAATGGAATGGCTTTCCTACAAGATAAAGTATTTTCAAACTGGAAAATACATAACTAGGAAGGAAATGTTTTGCAAGGCAACAAAATGTCCAGCAACACCTTCCTATTTGAAAATCGCTTTGTCTTCACTGTTTCAACATTATTGGCTTAGCAGGAAGAAGCAGCAGCAGACTTTAGCTCTGTTAAGTTTAGCTGCTGAGATAAGGACCCTGCCAGTTACCCCTTTCAGAGGCTCTTCAGAATTATTCCAGGGCAGTTACAGTTCTCTATCTATATGATCCTGCTTGCAGAGCCACAGTTAAATGCACTTAAATGCATACTATCATTCAGCTGCTCATCTGATTTTCAGCTGAGTGATCTCACTATGATGTCTAGTTTGGGAAACAAAATCCAGACTTATTTATAGTTTTTCCTCATGTATTGGAATATATTATGAAGCAAATGGAATTTTATTAGTGAGGAAAAGCAGTTAGTCAGGAAAGCATTGTTACTGTGGGTAGTGCTTAAACTCACATGAAACCAAACTGATGTGAGTAAGACTAACTCACAAGTCTGCCCATCTGGATTTGCTTACATGAAGAAGTCCACAGTGTCTGCAGTTCTGTATATCTTTTTGAACTTTTTTATAAATTCTAATATTTTGGATGCAATTGTTTAAGAAACAGAAAACACGTGTCCCCTATATGAAGTCTTTACATCTATTTTTTTATATTTACAGATTTTTTTTTTAATCTCTACATTTAAAAATTGAAAAAAACACTTTTTTTTTTTTTCCAAGTACGAACACAGACAACATCCAATGCATTTTGTGAAATATATAGTATAGAAAAGCAGTAATTGCTAGGTAAATGTATCAGTATTCAGTTCTTTCTGAATTTATGTTATTTCTGGAGATGGAAGAACCGTGCTGTATCAGAACAATAAATCAAAATGCTAAAATTTTCTACAGACTGTCTAATTTTCTTCTGTACTTTGAAATCTTTTTATATCTTATTTTACTCTAAATTATATTGCATATGTATCATAGCATATCACTTTGTATCACTTTTATTTCATCTGCTACAACTGATTGGTAAATTCATTTTCCTTTTTTTCTTTCATCAGACAGTACATTAAAATGGTTCTTTTTATTAGGTATTTTATTCATATTTAATTTGAAATTCAATGACTTATAATATAATTAACATACCAGTAATTTACAGAGGTACCCTACTAAGTACCTAAATGAAGCATCCTAACTTCGTATGACGCAGCATAATAATATAAGAGACAAAACAGAAATTTCCAGATTAAGCATAATTCACCATTATTAGAATAAATTGCTCTTACTAAGAAAGCAGTTTATTTTCCAACAGAAGTTTTCTGTTCTTTTGGATTGCCATTTACATCTGATTTCCAAGTGAATGTTCTTACTGAAATCTTCAGTCAGGTCTTCTCATATCAATTTTTCATCATTGCATGATATCTTTTTTAACTATAAGCCTCAGAGGGTTCTGGCAAAGCAGGGCTTCCGTGAAGTAGAGTGAAACATGAGAAATTCAGCTAGGAAAACCACACATAAATCGTGGAAATTGCATCAGGTATTCCCTGAATGCTATTCTGAGTTGAAATAGGTGCTTTAAATCAGCAAATGCCTCACTTTGCAGTGACTGCTGAAATGAATCACGTTATTTGCAGTTATGAGGGTTCTTTTTTGGTTTGAAAGTTACATTTTTTTTATGTGTTACTGAACTACTAGAATTTGTCCTGCTGAACTACTCGAATTTGAATTAGGATTTGAAGTATTTAACAACGAAGTTGGCAAGACTTGGAGATTTGACAAGACTTGTGCTGACAAGTATACTTTTAAATTGCATCTGCTGTTGTCCTTCTCACACAGGGCTTCAAACTTGATTTTGCTTTGAATTGTGAATTTGTTCCTGTTGAATTCAGTGATATCCGACAGACAAAGGCAAGCTTTAAAAAGCTGTTGAGAGCTTGTGTTCCCAGCACTATTCCTACAGATTCTGAGGCAACATTCCTGAAAGCTCTTGGGGAGTCAGAATGGTTCCCACAGGTAATTTATATGACAGGTACTTCTACATGCAGTACTGCTTGCACCAAATAAATTTAAGACTCTTCTGACAGAGAACTGTTGTATTTTAAACAGCTGTTCTTTGCTCTTTGTAATTACTTTGCATGCTATCAATTCTGTCATTACACAGGTGTTAATTTTAATGCTACCATAACATTTACAGATGTGGGAGGTAATTTTTATAGCATTGTTTATATAGACTGTCTCTCTATATGGAACATATAAACAAGTAGAGATGATCATTTTTATTTATGGTCTTGGTTTTTTTAACAGTTTTTTTCTTATTCTATGTATTACAAAAATTAGAAAAAATAACAGACAATAAATGCACCTTTGATTTTAAAGTTGATATGCTACCCTTAATATATGTTCCTACCTTGAATTACCACGTTTTGCTGCATAAATACTCCTCAACAGCAAATAGTCTTTGAAAACAGAATAGGCAGAATACATGCAGGTAATTTAGTGATCTCAGTAATTATGCATCATAAAATGTACTTCTGGCTGGAACATGCTTCATTGCAAGGAATAACTTGACTCCTCACATTTAAGGTATGGTCTTTCCTTACGGAACATAGGAGCTGATCATTGAAATGTCTGACCCCTGCTTTGTCAATGAAAGGGAGAAGTCTGGAGACATAAGGTCATGATGACCCCACCATGTGAACATTTCCAGTCACAGAGCAATTGAGCAAGCTAATAGGTGTAGATAGACGAAATGAATATCACTGTGATGAAATAGGCACGTCTCTATAGCAGCGCAGAGATTAAGAAGAGGTTATCACATTGGAGATACACTCAAGTGTATTTGAGAGGAAAAGTAACAGTGTAAGTCTTTGCTCAAGATTAGATGACAGTACTAACTGTGATTCATTACCACGACATTTCTGTGGTGAAAATTCCAGGGTAGGTGACTTATGCAATAAACTTGATTTATGACTGAGTTTTCCCATTTTCTGCTAATCCTGTGAACGGACATAGATCTGTCATCTGGAAACTTCTTTTTGTTGTATCGTTCCTCTCTAGGTAACAGGAGTTGTGCCATATTGGTTTTAACACTGTGTAGGCTAAATAGTTCTTTATGAGGATTTGAATATGGAAGAAATTCAAAGTATATTCTGAGTACTACTAATAAAAAATAGTGTTCTTCTCTTTCTTTATATTGAGTCTTTGTAACCAGATTGCGTAGCAATTTCTTTCCTTAAGGACAGCAAAAAAATAGTCTTTCTTCTAGTCTATTGCCTGTGAAAGCATAGAACAATAAATGAACGATTTGATTTTCAGTGCATTATGCTTTTTATAAATAGTCTTTTCCTATTAAAAATTTCAAGAAAATAGTTCACTTTTAGTTTCTAGTAATGACTGTGTGAATATTCAGAGTTGTTAAATGTCTTCTGTTAAGTTTTCATGGTGATGTTCATAGGATTGGGGTGTTATTATTTTTATTAACAAAGTAAAAATCCATCCTATTTCTAGTGTTTCTTCTTGATCTTTTTTCTTATTATCTCCAATTTAATATTGAGTTAAACTGAGTTTAATACTGATTTTCTTTCATGTGAACTTACTTTTTTCCGTGCATAAATGGTCTTAGATGTCTTTTGCCATTTTTGCTTTCTCCCTTTCCTTAGGCTTTCATATTTTCTATGTTGCTATTGGATTGTATTCAGTGCACTGGAAAGAGCAGTTTGATTCTACTATAAAAAAGGGAAAAAAATTACTGCCTACATATAGGATATTATGTTACTTACCAAGAATGCATTCAAAGTATGAAAGATATGGTAGAAACACTGTAGGTTCTCGTTTTAATAGTAATGATGTGAACACTTCTCTGTAAGGTAAAAACATTCAAATTCACTTAATTATTTCAATTTGCTTATAACCAATATGTTTTAAATCTCGTTCAAGTATATAACCTTTCCCAGAGAAATTACTAACTCATCTGCTTATAGAATTTTAATACCACTAAATAGCATTTATCAGAATGCAAATAATGAACCTGTCCTCTTTTCACACGTTTTAGCCAGTCTGACCAAAAACAGTGTGAGAAAAAAGATTTAATCTATCTGAAAGTGTTTCCAGATAATAGAATGTTCTTGCTTTTCTTTTTTCATTAATTTCCGACTTCCAAGAGAATGAACATTAGAAATATTTTCTTCTATGTATCTTACATTTGTTCCCCCATCAAAGTATTGAGTGACTTTATGTGACCATAACTTTTCACAGGAAAAGACTGTAGTGTTAATCCCAGGGTGGAATTTCTCTGCCATAAATCTATCAACTGAGTTGTTGCCATGCTCCTTTTTATGACAACTATTTATTGCAGTGTTCATTGGTTGTAATGGTTCCTATCTCAAATATTTGCATGGTTTTGTGTAGTTCTGAGATTGTTTTTTAGTTTTCTGGTCTGTTTTATCAATAATTTATCTATACTATATATGTAGATTTCATTATACAAGTTTAATATTAAATATGAAGAGATTGCATTTATTGATAATATCTAGACATTTCTCTCATTCTTCAATTTGTAATATTATGTAGCTTCACAGGATAATGCAGTTGGGTGTCATCATCTCAGAGCTCCTAGAAAATGGTTCTTCTGTTATGGTCTGTTTGGAAGATGGCTGGGATATTACTGCACAAGTAAGCTGTTATTAAAACTTGAAATAATTAAATAGTAAGAAAAACACTGGGCAAGACTTTTTTACGTGTGAGACTGATAATTTGATGTAAGAGTAATAAAACTCTGTTGTGGCAACAAAGAAGGGACTGGAATATATGAATTCTTGTGTTTGCAATTTACTTCACAGAAGAGTTCATTAAAATGTTCCAGAGGCCCTGTTGGACTTAGAATTCTAGGGCTTATCTACAAGATCTGAGTTTCAGTACCTGATCATATGTAAGAATGAAAGCTGAAAGTTGTCACTACAGGTTATTTACCTTTTTAAGCACAGTACACTTTAACACAGAAGGGAAGGAGAGGAATTCCTTCTTTGTTATTTGCTTTCCAGAAATGGAACACATACAGAGAGAAAACCAACCGTGTGAAAGTGACAGTAATACACCTGTTACAAGGACAGATTACTGGAACAGATAATTTTGTGAAATATGCTATAAATTACACAATTGATAGCTCACTTAATGTGCACTGTGTTCATAACTTCATAATCCAGAAGATAAACATAGATGACAATAATTCTAGTAAATAAAAACATCGTGTAAAGCCAGCATCCTGATCCTCGGTAAACAAAATCATAAGGGAATGTAATAATCTTGGAATCATTGTCAAACAGTGAAGAATAGAGAAAGGCACATACATAGCTGGAGGTGGGAGATGTCTGTGCTGTGTTTTAACATCTTCAGAGATGCTGTCTACAAGAACAGGCTGAAGTTGTCTGGCGAGGACGATAGTTTGGCAACACTACCAAAGCTGTAGAGTCATCCTTAGGATCAATTCTTTAATGCTTTCTTTGCTGAAGTAGCCAGTACTATTTTATAAATAGTATTTTATTAATTATTATTATTTTCTATTGTTTATTTTATTAATAAAAGTGGTTTTATTAATAATGTAATTCAAAATTGTTAAGCATTTTCATGATTTCTGAATTCTTTAGTTGCACAGGATTGGCTTTTATGATTATCATTAAGACCCAATTTAATTAAGGCTCTTTCATGTGAGATCATATTTGTATTGTGTTATAAAAATATGTAGCCTACCTGGTAAAGTACTTTAATTGAATTTATATGAAGGCTTTTGTTCCTTTGAACTGGAAGCATATGATGGAATATTTATGTAAGTTACATAAAGTGGTTTCATTTTAACTTATGTCATTCTTAACATAATATGTCCTGTTTTGTGATCTAGGTAGTATCTCTGGTACAGTTACTCAGCGATCCCTTCTATAGAACACTTGAAGGCTTCCGAATGCTGGTGGAAAAAGAATGGCTCTCTTTTGGTCATAAATTCAGTCAAAGAAGTAATTTGTCTCTAAATTGTCAGGGTAGTGGATTTGCACCTATTTTCTTGCAGTTCTTGGACTGTGTGCATCAGGTAAGTCCACCTATATCTATGTATAGATGCTGTTATTTCATCAGTCATAGATAATGCTTTGAGGGAAGATTAATAACCTTCTTCTCCAAGTTTTAATAAAGGGACTATGTTTCACATGAAGAAAAGCTAGAAAATGAGCATCCATACAAAACAGACCTTCTAAGGGAATGGTTGACCTTAATGGGTATTTTAGTGTGATTTATGCAGAGATTTCAATTTGAAGTTTTTTAAGTTTAAGACTGGCTTCTGGCAGTTTGGAATACTTCACATTACAAGAAGAGATCAAGAGAGTTTTCATACAGTAGGTATGGAAAAGGCTTTTAACTCCTTGTGCTTGACTATGCCCTCTCAAGACACCTTGTACCCAGCCAATTCTGGAGACAGAAGTATGTTTAGCCCCTCTGTAGTGGTCTGTTTCAAACTCGTATGCAGAGGAATTATGGATTGAAATTATGTTCTTTCTACTCAATGCATTCCAAAGTCTGTTGCTATTACTTTTAGATAAGCAGAAACATGTTGCTAGCAGCAGCAAAAATTCAGTGGAAGGACATTTATGCACTGCTTACACTCTGGTGAATAATCTGTACTACTGAGGATAATTCAACCTTTATTTTTGATATTGTAACATATTTAGTAGAATAATCAACTCCATCTAAAAATTGGGTTGGCTTTTGGTAACTCCACTTGAGCTCCATTCCCCATCCTCATTTGTAGTTTATTGCAGACTATAAGGACCAAACTATGCCTGTAGAAATAAATGATGATTTCTTGAAGTAGGATTCTTAAAAGATAATTGCTGTAGGCCTATTCCCAGAATAAATTAGCTTTTGAGCTATACATTATTGGGCCCCAACCTAGTACCTTTCTTCTAAAGAGAGGGCTTCTTGTGGGGCAACCAACAAGAGCAACCACTGGACGTATATCAACAGCCTGACACATGTTGTACTCCCAGTAAGAGCTGGAAGAACAAAGTGACCATTACTACATAAATAATAACAGGTCACTTTTCCCATTGCCAGTTGATTTGTCCAAGATACTTGATCTGCTTCCAGGATCACTTCAACAACAGTACTGCAGTCCATAAGTCCTTTTGTTCATTTTTTAGATCTTGGTCTTATATACAAACAGTGTTAAGGGACAACAGTGGAGTTTTGAAGGCATTTTGGATGCAAGACATGATCTTTTTCCAGGAATTTAATTGCAGACTTGATCATGAAATACATTATTACTTAGGAAGTCTACTCTTAGGAGCACATTTCCAAATATACAGGATGGTTTTAATGGAAAACAAGTGGTAGCATGGAAAGAAAATTTTGCAGTTCTTGGAATTCTGCTTTTCTCATGCTGTTAAAATTCTCTGCTCAAGAGTTCGTACCTAAGTAATGCAATTTTCCACTTCTGTAGTTGAAAAAACAAGCAGGTTTCTAGGGGTCCAGTAGCAGTACCCAAAAAAGAAACAAACTCTAGAAAACTTGGAAATAATCACCTAAGTTGTTCTTATTTTTATATATTCTGCATGTGTGCAAGAAGATGAACACCATCAGTTACATGGTACAGCAGAGTAAGCATTTCTTACTCATTTCTGCTTAACTGCTTAACAGTAAATATAATGCTTTGCAGATTCTCTGCATATGGAGACACAAGGTAGGAGCTTGTGTATAGCTCTTCTTGTAGATGTCTTTCTTTTTCCACTTCTCATTTTTCTCACTGAAAAGTCTTGGCTTCTAGATATTATTAACCTGCATGTAAATTGTGTGGATGATTCCTCCTCATAGAAGAAGACTGTTAAAGCACCAACCTTCTGTCTAGCAATAGATGATCATAGTGAATACATACATGGAGTAGACCCTGAAAGAGAAGTCAGCAAGTAGACTTAGTCGATTGCCCAAAGCAAAGTCCACTAATTAAAAAACATACTAAGCCTACAAGCAAAGAAAATCTTTAGATATGGAGGAATGGTTATGAATGAGTTTATAAGAAAATGAGTGAAGACTTACTGATGAACATGTTGCAGAAAAGGATCATTTTTTATGTATTGCGACATTGAACATTATCTCCCATCCATTGTTGCTGTCTTGAAAGTGAATAAGTGATATCCTTGTAACTTGGGTCTGTTCTAGCATAAGAAAACCTTACAGATATTTGTCATGTCTCCTTTCTTATCAATCTGTTTCCCAGTGGCTGTGGTCCTCAGGTTAATTTTTATTCAAAATGGAGAGATTGATGAGCATCAGTACTGGCATTTTTCATTTAAACAAGTTAATCCACCGCCAGTTGTGACATAAACTATCCTTTGGGGTACCTTAAGGTTATTTCTTGTTTGTTGAAGTAGAAGGGGAAAAACATCAACAACAGCAAATTCTTAGTTGCAGCGGCTACAGCAGGACAGAATAGCTGTCCTGTTGTAGCTATTGAAATCCTGAGGCCTGCCTGTTGAGTGGTTCATTCGGCTCTTTGAAAATCACTTGTCTCATGCTGTATTCTCACTGTTGTCAGATATCTTCTGTTTTTACTGAGCTGACTGGATTGCACTGTCTCTTGTTAGAATTGATTGAATTGGCATTTGATTTGAAACAGTAATGTAATTTTGAAGAGATTCCCTCAAGCATTTCCCCTTGCCATTTTGATAATTTTTAGAAAATATGAACTAGATTCTTGGAGGGATTTACCTAGAAGTTCTGCTTCAGGTGTATGCTAATTACTCAATACTTCTTAAAAGGGTCTAAAGCAATGATTCATCACTCAAGTTAAAACTATATAGTAATAGACCTCAAGGGGGGGAAAAAAAGGTGTATAGAACCTCAGCAACAGCTGTGAACTATTTGCTATTGTAGATATAGCCTACATCATTTTAAACATTCTTTTCCTAACCGTGGAGACACTTTGCTTCGGTCTTACGGTAATAAATCTTAGGAAGCTGACATAAAGAACAACAAGAAACTTAACCATGCACACCTGTAGAGTAGATTTTTCCTCAAGTCCAGAGGTCACGGTCACACAAACTTTGGAAACAAATGGGTTATACAGAGCAAAGATGAAAGTTAGCATTTAAAGGATATTTTTAATTGTGGTGAGAATAGGATGTTCCATGTTTTCTTCGTGGCAAAATTCCTGTTAGATTTAAAACAGTCAGAAGTTCATAGAATAATGGAGTGTAATTTTCCTGATGTTAGAATTTACAATGAAACATGAAGTGGGATAAATCCCTGCTGTTAACAGCTGATAGGTATGATTCTGCTTTATGCTGCAAGGTGCCTAAATTATTCCTACTCTGTATATGAACCTCTTAAGGAAATTTGGTCTCTGTCATGAGAACTTCCAACAGAAGCGCTTGTGAATCGTCTCTAATCTTTGTACTTTCTTGGGGGGCAAGTTGGGTAGTGGAGCAATTTCATAATTTCCATTGTACTCTAAACATTATTTTTTTGTTTTTCTAAGACTAATCCTGAAATAAAAAATATATAATGTTCCTTTTAGAAAATGTTTACATTATCCATTTTCAATTTGATTTGGTTCTCCTGCATGATAGAGGAATATAATTCGTCTCAGGTAGGAGATTTGGTAGTATCTGAATCATCATTAAGAGGCAGTACAAAGTATACATGTTATTAGCAGGTGCATTTTACATAATGATCAGTATCTTCTGGTTTTTTGGTATTAAACTGTGTCCATGTGCCCAGGCTGCAGCTGTGTCAGCAGAAAGGTTACTTGATATAGGCCATCTGAAGCTATTAATTACCTCCCCTCTGGTGGAGATATTACACTTCCAGTCTGTTAGCTCAGGGGTTTGTGTGGATCTACGTGCCTTTTCTACCAAAATGATAGAAAAGAAATGGGTAGAAATAACTGTAAATATCTTATTTTGATGGATGTGGGTTCAGAAACAGTTCAGCCGATCAATCTGAAGTAGTCAGTATCTTCTTGTGAGGAATGATAGGGCTGTGTAGGGCTTGTAGTCTTCATCCAAGAAAGGACATAGGAACACAGCTTTGTGTAACCAGTGTGTTACACTTGGTTGCACCAAAAGTAAAGCCTCCAATTCATTTTCACGGCAACTACTGCAGATACAAAAAACACTGACTGAGCAAATTCTGAGCTGTAAAACACTATTTTTCAACATAGTCTCCACCATTCGCCAATTTGTGTGGATGAGCTGATTGAGGCACTCTTCATTTCAGCTGTTCGTGGCCATCCAGAACATGGATTGTGTTTCATCTCACCATCACCACTGCTGAAATACATCCCCCACCACCTCTGTGTGCACGTGCCACTCTTTGATCTCCATGAATGTTTCAGCACGCATTGACAAATGTCAGTGCAGTGCACTGGTGCAGTGTTTTCCACATGAAGGAATTCAATTCCACGCCTTCGCTTCCAGTGCACTTCCATGTCAGGTGCCATTTTGTCAGACTGCCGCTCTGCTACTGTCTGTTACACAGCAACAAAATGTAACAGAATATTGGTGGGAAAGTTAGACCTCTATTTCCATGTTACCAACATCTGCTTCTGACATTGTGGGCCAACATAATAAAATAGGAGGCGTTACTTTCGGAGCAGCCCTTGTAGTCTCGACATAATAGGTAATAAGTCTCTGTTGAGCCAGTGTGCATTAAATATCATTTGTTAAACTAACAATACAGAGAAAACAAATGAAGCAGTGATTCCTAAATTAGAACTGCGTCATCTTGTAAGAAGTCATTGTTTATGCCAAAATTCTCCAGGTGTCAGCTGAATTATTAATGTAAAATCATTCTTTCACAACAGCAGCATCTGGTAGATACTCACTGCTTCTGGAAGGCTGAATTGGAAAGTGATGTCACTGCAGGAAGCTTAAATGCTTTTAACTTGCATGTTAAAGTGCTTTTAACTTGCAAGTTTTGAGTATGTCTCTTATACATTTTATATCTTATAATATCTTATAATTCTTATATCTTATTCTAATATATCTAGATCTTATAAGATATAAGATATATAAGATCTTATAAGATATAGATATAAGATCTTATATCTAATTCTTAAATCTTATAATTCAGAGTCAATGAATTAACTAAAAGTGGACCGAAGAGTTACCAAAGAGAAAAAAAAAAAAACTGTAGAAATTTGCCTAAGTGGTTACATTGCTTACAGTAATTAATAGTCTCTATTTTATGTTTATTTTTAATTGCTTAAGTTAATCTGGTTATTTTTTCCAATGTCACATTTTTATTGTATCATTTGTGATATTAGAGCTGTATTTTATCAGAACTTTTTTCCCTGGTAGTTCAGCCATATTTTGAATTTCCACGTACTGCAGCACGTCTACACAAATCATGGGTAGTTGTTTCTTTCCCATCTCCAAGTGTGCTGAAATCTGCCATATACAATAGAAAACAAGCAGACACACTATGTTATTCACCTTAAATAAATGCTTGAGATGATAGCTGTTCTTACTCTAAAATGTAAATCTTATTATTTCTAGTTACTTGCAGTTCCAGAAATCTCAGAATTTAGATCACTTACAATATCTGAATGTGTAACAGGACTTTGGTACCTGTTTCTTGTTCTAGCTCTTGAAATTTACTGAAATAATTACTGGACCACAAGTAGAAGTTTGGACCATGTCAGATAACAGATTACTAAAATAACCAGTTTATCAAAAAAACTTCCTTTCTTGCTATATTCCAAATAATACTTTTCCTAAACAAGGTGGGAACTGTAAACTATTTGTATATGCCTGGATATGTATTGGAACACACACAGACCATTTTGGGATCTCAATCCAAAAGTTCATTAAGTCATTTTTTAACAGAATTAGGGTGCTCTGGTTATATTTAAATCTATTGTTTGCTAGAAAAAAATTACTTTCTTCTTTGTAAAGGGAACTAAAAAGTTACATTGTCTTTGTAATTGACCTTGAATTTATTATAGAAAAACAATTTTGCTTGGCATTATTCTTACAAAACAGTGCAGGAATACAGTAATTTTTATCTGGGAAAACATGGGGATGAAGTAAGAGTTGAGGATGTTAAACTGAGACAACTTATAATAGCTTAGCATTTTGAATAACTCACCATAAGCTAATATCAACATATAACAAGAAATCCTCTGACTGCACTGCTGTATATATATTTAAGGGGTCTTTCAAGGGATTTCCCTGTCACTGTTGTAAATTAGTAGTTAATCTTTCCTGCTGAATGCACACTCGGTTGTGGGTTCGGCTGTTGTGTTGTTTTTTTTATTGTTTCTTAGCTTTTTTTTCAAATAGCACATGTGAGATGTTAAACATCAAGTTGCTTCAAATAGCCTTGCTCTGGTTTCCTTAATGCTAAATAAACATGTCTCTTTTTTAGGACCTAGTTGCATAGAGATTAGAGAAAAAAGGTACAATGGGAAAATAGGAGTGCTGGGAATAAAAAAAGGCAATATGTGGCAAAAGTGCCAAAATAAAGGTATTTTACATGTTTGAGGGGAAACTACACAAATCACATATTTGAAAATTTAAATTCAATCAGCAGTTTCTTTCTGATTGAGAAAGCTGTTTCCATTGTAATTGAGGATTTTCAGTTCACTATCATCCTTAATTCTGAAAATAAATATTGCATTGACTTAAAGAGTAAAATTTACATTTAACACCTGAGGGCTTTGAAAGTAATATCTCATGAAAATAAAATTTAGATTTAAATTTTATATGGGCATCAAGTACTTATTAATAATTAATGAAGCAAATTTAGCCATGAATATTAAACTAAATGCCTAAAACTACAAATCAGGCTCTTTCTGAGGATGTTCAAGATGAAGAAATTCTAAGAGCCAGCTCTTCCCCATTGCTGTGCTCTGATGATCTTGTGTTGTTTTCTTAAACATTTGACTCTTGCTGGAGACATTCACTGAATTATAACACATGCAAATATTAATAAAAAATTCATAAAAAATAAGTAGTTCTCTATTAAATATATGCATATGAATAATGGCAAAGCACCTCAATATGTTGTTTTGTTTCATTTTTCACACTTCAATATTTTGGTTCATATTTTGAGAGCAAAGGATTATGTGTTGACTAGCAGGTACTTCAGAAATGAGCTGTTCCAGTAATGGCAGATAGAATATTGTTTTCCAGAGTTACTTATGTACATGTTGTCTTGTTTGGATCCTGAGCAATACCTAGAACTCTGCTGCAAAACCTGCCAATTAAAATTTGATTTGCAGGAAATGATACATCGAGGAGCAGCGTCTTTGCATATGAGTTTGCATGGTGTCTTATGAGTTAAAGTAAAATGATACCCAGTTTGATGACTTTGAAGAATCCAGCATTTTGTGCAGAGTGCAACATTTGAGTATAAAAGTACACTTTTGCATCATGGACAATGTGTGAATTTCAATGAATTAAATATTTTAGACAAATTGTAGAAGGATTTGTGTGCAGTTTCTTATGAATGTATTTGTTGTCAGATTTGACAAGATAATTATTTTCCTGTCTTATTGCCTCAAAATCCTTTTATTTCCTCTGTTTATTTTTAGATTCATAACCAATATCCAACAGAGTTTGAGTTCAATCAGTATTATCTGAAGTTCCTAGCTTTTCATCACATATCAAATCGATTTAAAACATTTCTTCTGGATTCAGACTATGAAAGACTAGAACATGGTATGTGTAATGTTTTTTTATCACATATTTTTTCTGGTTTTGTCCCCGTTTTTCTGTCCAGTGTCTGGTCTACAATATTTGCCTTGTTTGAGATGATCTAGTAATTGCATGGTAATACTCTAGTCAATTTCAGTTCAGGAATACAAACTAAAATGTAGGTGACAAACACGCTGAATTTTCTGAATGAATGATATGCAACTGGTGGGACTTAAGAAAAAGTGAAAAAAATGAGTGTCATGCCTTGGGTTTTGTTTTGCCTTCTTGGTTTGTTTTCTTTGTCATTTTCTTTTTTTTTTTTAGCAACTTACTGACTTACTTCAGTTTCCCCTATTAAGTGCTTGTTTTAATAGAAACAAAGTCCTTAAGAAACCTTCAGAGAGCACATGACATTTCAGGAAAGGGAAGCTTTTCCATCTACTGTCTCTCACTCTTTTCTTTTGAACTCTCTTTAGTGTTTCTCTTTTTTTACTCCCTACATCTGTCATGTGCAAAAGCTCATTTGCTCCCTACAAGACCTTATCTGCCCTCACAGCTCACATAAGACTTTACAACCACAGCCGAGGCTGTTCCTGGAGCTTGTTCATCAAACAAAATGCTTACATGTTCTGAATTTCACTGTTTCTCATGGCATATGGTCAATTTTAATGCTTTTCTTTAAAACTGTACTAACTGTGGAACATATTGAACTTCAGAAGCCGTTTTATTTCAACAAGAAAGAAATATTTTTATTATTTACCTTGCTCTGAACGAAAGATTGGAGTCAATTTCTTTCTGTCCTTTCAACCTGTATTTTTACATGGTTCTACAGCGTGTCCTTTTTTTTTTTTTTTAAACCACATTTGTTTATTTTGTGTGGCTACATTTTCAAATGCCATCTTATGCAGTATAAAGTCCTGTTTCCAGTGGATTGAAGGCCTGGTAACCTCTCATATTAGGGGACAGAATCAGCTAGCACGGCTCAATGATCTGTTGAGCCAGTATAGCTGGAGACAGAAAGGGACGTAAGTACCCTATTTCAATCAATTTCAGAACAGAATCATAAATATAATGCTATTGATTAATTTATTTTTTTAATATAAAAGTCACGTTCAACTTGTGGCAGAGTGGAAGTTACAAAGCACAGCGTTTGTTTCAACAAACTGTCTTTTGCAGCAATTTCACTTTATAGTAGATTTTACTGTAAATTCAATTTGTGAAATTCCTTTTGGCTGTGCTTTAATGTTTGCTACGTTTTATCATAAAGCTATCATTTGCTGCTATTTATTTTCTCTAGGGACACTTTTTGAAGATAAAGGAGATAAACACACCAAAAAAGGAATTTGTATTTGGGATTGTATTGAAAAGATGCACAAGAGGAGTCCTATTTTCTTCAATTACCTCTATGCTCCCACTGAAATAGAGGTATGTGTGTTTTGTTGTTGTGGGGTGGGTCTTTTTATTCATTCTTTTTAAGAAAAACAAAACCCTCAAAACAAACAAAGATCAGGTTGTTTGCTATTCTGAGTGATTTTCTGAGTACATTTTGATATCTTAATTTGCCTAGCTGGATAAAGCATTTGGTGGACAAAATTAATCCTTCTTAATTGATTGCTGTAATGTCTTAAAGCTTATATTTTCAGTCATCTTAGTTTTGGAAATTTCATTAAAGGGATGAATTCTGGAAATGTACATATGCATGCCATTGAGGAAAACAAGGTTACTTGTTTAATTTCTATAGTTATATGACTTACTATAAAAATGGTCCTAAAATCTGCATAGTTATTTTAAAATATTTGTTTATATACCATAATTCACAGTTATGGGGAAATGAGCTTGAAGTCCATTCCAGCCACAATGGAATGTCTAAAATGATAGACATCAAGACATCTAAGGAACTGAAAGAAAAGAGCAATGTTCATACTGTAGTTCTGGGGGTCAGACTGGTTTAAGGTAGTTCAGCTTCCCCCCTTGCCCCACTGATGTGCTTCTCTCTCCTGCTTTGCCAATGAGCTTCACCCTGACAAATAATTTATCTGCATGCCTGTCCACTGCTGGTGACCAGATAACGACAGGGTGTTACATGCTCCAATGTGTTGGAAGCCCTGTTTTCACTAACGCTTTTGTTGGTGTTTCTTAGCTTTCCTTTTTCCTCAAAGATTTTTTTACCACGCTGTATTTTAGAATGCATAGCACCTACAGCTCAAATCAGATATATAAACTTACCTAATATGATTTCGGTAGTCAACAACGCAGGCCCCATGACCCCCCATGCATACATACTCCTATGCTTCATTAAATCAGTATGGGAGAGAGAAGATGGAGAAAACAAGAGAGCGATATTGAATAGATAGGAAGTTCTTCACTTGTCTGATTCAGAGGAACATACTTTTCCTGTAGAACCATTACTGTGATGAATTTGTAAGTTGATGGCCATCTTATTCACTTTATGTTCTATCCATTTTACTGTAAGCCTGACAAGTAAGCAATTAAGATTTGCTTTCAGTGTTTTGGTAGTGTCTTTTTTCTCGTTTTTATTACAAACTGTTTTTCCTCATGTGAAATTGTGTTGTAATAGCAGAGTTTAATGATTGTGACTGAACATCACTCTTAAGACTTTAAAATTGCCCATTGACCTGGGGAAATAATTCCCTGTAAATAAAATATACTGATTACCTTATATTTATATACTATTACCTTATATTTTAAAGGGAAAAAAAAAAAGAAAAAAAAAAAGGTGTGTCCTTAATACAAAGTCGTCTGTTCTGTGAAAGCTTTAATAGTCTCTGGCTCATTTGCTCATGTTATTACGGTTATTCCAAGTGTTTGTCCACTTAAGTTATGCAGCCCTTCTCCTTTCCCTGATAGTAGAAGGTCTTGGATTTTCTGCTGAGGAGAATTTAAGGGTGATTGCTATCAAGTACCTTTTCTATAGGTATCTTTATCTTGCTATCTTTAACAGGGGTCACAAAGACTGTGAGGGTTGCAACTGTATATTGAATTAGAGTTCTTGGGAAACAATTTGTTTAGTAGAAGGATAATTCTGAACAGTATATCCCCAAAGGTAGTATTAGTTTGACTTTTTGATCTGACCCATATGCCAGAATCCTGCTGTGAAAATGATCAAAGTGCAGTATTACCCAACACAAGAAACTGTTACATTTAGAACAATCCATAAAATATAAGAATTGCATTTTTCAGACTGAAACACAGACACTTCCTTTCTGTTATTATAATAAAACTTTCTTTCTAATAGGCCCTGAAACCAAATGTAAGCATGTCCAGCCTCAAAAAGTGGGATTACTATGTAGAAGAGATTTTGGCTACAGGTCCTTCCTATGACTGGAATATGGTGGCTGCAAAATGCAGTGCTTTAGAGGAAGCTGACCAAACAGATGGTTCAGTCTCTCAGAAAAAGAGGAAAATAGTGTGGCCATGTTACGATGATGTTAAGAAAATACAACCTGATGCCATCAGCAGCCTTTTAAATGTAAGTACATACGTTAAACAGAAAAAAATAAGTTATTTTAGTTATCACGTATCATGTTTACCCTTCATTTATGTTATTTCCCAATTTTTATTTTTAGTTATTGCCCTGTATGTTATTGCCCTATGGATATTATATAAAATTATTATTAAAGCCAGTCAGAGTAGTTATTTAGTATAACCAACTGATTGCCTTCTGTAAGAAATGCACTAATTGTTCTTTTAATTGATGCAACGGTTGAATCTGTTTTTCTTGCCCTTTTTCTACTCAGTTTAATGCGTGTAGTAAAGATCCAAATTCCTGCAAGTTCAGGAAACAGAATCCAACAGTTGTTGGTTTCAGTGAAAGGTAGATTTCATATGCAGATATATATATATATATATATATATGTATATACATATCCCTGAGCGTCTTGGCCCAAATTTATCAACAAAACTTTCCGTTGTTACTCCTAGTATATTTATTTTTAGTAGGACCTTACTCAAATTCTGAAACGCTTCAGAATATTTCAGTATGTTATGTGGATGCTTGATTTGGGCAATGATTTTTTTCCTGTGGGCCCAAGTAGGCTCCTCAGGTTTTGTTGTTTCATAATTAGAAAATGAATAAGGATCCCATTTAGCATGGCAGTAGTTGTATTTTCTTGGATGTTTGTTGTTTGATTGTAATTGGCTATCAGTCCTAATGTTTACAGTATCTTCTGGATTAAAGGAAAGAAATGATGTGGTGATTCTTCATTTCCTAGAGGTATTGTTTCAAGCTATGTGCATATTCAGCTGCACATACAAAATATTTCATTATAAACTTTCATAAACTTTCATTAACTTTCATTAGAATTGAGATTGTGAAGCCTAGTGAAGCAGTTCTTGGAAAGCTGGGTTATGCTTTGGAATCCTGAAATCGCTGAAATTAAATAGCTCTTAACAAAGTCTTAGGGTTGGAAGATTCTGAATGTATATCAATAATTCAGAATAGACTTGCTTGCGTCAGAGAGCTAGCTTAATTCAGGAACACAACTGCTATCTCCTGTAGTCCATTTCATACAATCACTATTGATGAAAAAGAGGGAAAATGTCCGATTTTCAAAAATAAAATTCAGCAGTGAAACTCTTCTTGATACTGAAAGCCAGAAGTGCTCAAAGCTTCTAACTTCACAAATTCAATGAAAGAGAGCTTATCCGTTCCTCAACAGGGGTCATAGCAAGAATTCTTTCACAAAAAAAACCTAAGCCAAAACAAAAACAGCTTTTGTAACTATAGGCAGAACTACATTAGAAATATAGCAACAGTGTTCCTCTGCATTTCTTCATGGAGTAAATGCCAAGCTTATCCTAGCCACAGCTGTGAGAAAGACCATATAACAGGGAAATTAGCCATATTATATTCCAGAGATATGTGGGTCAGATTTTATAGAGTTTAAATGTTATTTGTGAATTAGATTATAGTAATAAAAGATAGCAGAGGAGAGGAACGTTTGGAAAACTTTGAAGAGGTTGTATAAAGGTTACAAAAATATTCTTCTAAGTTTAAAAAGCAAAGTGAACTTTCTTTTAAAACAAGTTGTTAATTTAGGGCTATTGCTGATGGGGGAAAAAGACCTCTCTTTAATCATAAATCCAGTGAGAATGTGTTGGTATCCAAGAAATGTTTGAACTGAGAACATATTCTAGTAATGATAAACTGTTAGGGAAGGTTGATTTTTCTCTTTGTTTATAATGATAATACCAAATATGTTCAAACTAAAGGTATTTTTTTTACAGAAAACTAGATAATACTCATCAGGATGTGAATCTGGAATGGAGAAGTTACAGAATATCTTAGTTCACAGTATTCCTTGTTACAATGCAGTGCTTTTCTATGAGGAGCAAAAGGTGTGATTTTTTTAGTGGTAAATGTCCTAATGTGTTTTGTGTACTTGACACCTTTAAGGAGATGTGACAGCTCTATATTTTCCATAAGTCTTCATGTTTACAAGCTTTAGGAAGTTAAGCAATCTACTACACATTTCATTCATTTAAGCCTAATTGAATGATAACAATGTACTTTAAAATACATATTTTTGTGTAAAGCTTCCCAATTCACTTCCACCACACCAGCCAAAAATATGAGCTGGTTTGTTCAAACCTTAAATTCTGGAAAAAGAACTTGTAGATATAAATGTTCAAAAGTAGATCCAGATGAAGGTATTTTCAATTAAGACCATTCTCTGATGGTCTTTTTACATCATAGAAATCGGAACCAAAGTATACACTGATAGTAAGAGTAATTACCCACCCATTTGTTAAGTAAAATGAAACAGGATCATGAAACAGGAAACTACTTCTGCTTTTGTCGTTTGTTTTTTTTTTTTTTTTTCTTTCAGAGTAGTTGCAAATAGTTTAAAAAAAAATAAAAAGGCAGATTTCTCCACAAAACTCAAAACCAGCTCATTTGGTAAGAGATTCCAACTGCATTTTTGAAAACACTTCCTTTCTTTGCTTTTAAAATTCATTAAGATGATACCACAGTGTGACACATCCAAGTATAGCATAGCATGTCTTCAGTAGAGAATAAAATTCGGGTTTAAATGTTTCTGGTCAAGACTAGGTCTTCCAACGACCCTTCGATTTGAGTTGTGATTCACTGTAAATGAGCTAACTGGTCTGAGTGATGAAGTGCACCTTGGCAGGAGCAAGCCCAGACATTGGTATATGCACCAATATTCTGCAGAAAGGTGCTGCAAATCCTGGTGGATGCTCAGTTGCATCAGCTGTGTTCCTTAAGGGCAGTGCTCCCGTGCCACAAAGAAGGCTGGTGGTATCATGGTGCCCAGTAACAGGACTAGGGGTGTTCCATCTGAACATGAAGGAGCAGTTCTTTACTGCGAGTGTGTTTGAACGCTGGCACAAGTTGCTGTCTTGGAGCTATTGCAAAGCCACCTAGGCATGGTCTGGGGCAGCTGCCTCTAGGTGGCCCACCTTGAGATGACAGAGGGCCCTTTCAACCTCATCAATTTTGTGATTCTGTGCAATTTTCTTCCAAGTGCAGCTATTGGCAAGGAAAAAATCTGATGTTCTCTGTAGAATTTAAAACTGAAGGAGCAAGAGTAAATCTTACTGATTTATTGTCATGTAAGTTTTTTTTTTTTTTTACAAAGACTTTATTAAGAGAATTTATTCCTAACTTTTCAAGTTATATATGGGAGGTTGTTGAAAGTTTTTCATTTAAAATTCTGGAAGCACTGCTCATTGTGGAGCCAAAAAAAAAAAAAAAAAAAGGAATGTGACCCAGTTGCTAAGTAACAAGCTTCAGTTAATTCCAGATTCTGCAGAGAAGGACTTGTACTCAAAAGTCAAAACTGTGGCAGAAAGAGAATGCTGAAATTAAAACCTGAATAACCTTTAGCACTAAAGAGTTTGTATTGCTTTTACAGCAGTTTGAGAAGCCTTTTACATGAAATGCCTGTGGTAAATATATTCAGTCCTATGTATACTATCAGGAACACTTTACAGAAAGAATTTTGAAAGAGGAACAACTGGTCTAAAGAAGCCTTTGGTCTGGCTTGTTTGCCATTCCTTGTTTTTGTATCTACCAGTGAGGACAATCCAAACAAAGCTATTCTAGTTTTATTTCTTGGCAGGAAAAGAGCCCTGCAATAGTAAATATATATGTATCTTTTCAAGTAGTTTGATTCTTTGTGTTGTCACGTCTCTTCTATTTAGTTATACTTTTCAACTTTCTAATTTTCCTTCAGCAAGGAAGAATCTGTAGATATGTTTTGTTTTTGTTAGACTCTGTCATATAGGCTTATTTATTTTCAGTTCAGTGTTCCAAATTTAGTTGAGCAGTTAATTGTTTCCTTACCAAATGTTTCCTTACCTTAAAAAATAGTCTTTTTCTCTAAGTTTCAATCATCAATGATTTCCTGTTATTCTAATATACCCCTAGAATATGATGAAAGCTACACTAGTTATGTGGTATAGTGGAAATAAGGTCAAAGTCTAATTGTCTCTTCTTTGAAAATAATGTCTTTGGGTTTATTTATCTTTTATATAGCATGGAAATTCTTTGTCCTGTGGCAATTTTTGTTCTGTCATCAGTCCTTAATTGGATTTTCAAAATTAAGTTTCAGATGTGATTTTGTTAAGAATCAGATTTTCATGACAATATAGGTGCTGAAAGTAAAACTGTAAGAAGGAAGGATAAAAATGGACCAAATATCACAGTAATGGCAAATGGTGAATGTTGTAGTTAAGCCGTTCCACAAGTAAACATGAACTAATTAAACTGTGTCTTTTTACTTAACTTTGCACACACTGTCTTATTAACAGGAAATAACCCCAACTGGAGGTTATCAACATAGGTCGTATTCCCAAGTTCCACAAGAACATGTTGTTACAGTTTGGCATCCAAAATGAATAAATCTTCCATTTCCTTCTTTTATTACAGTTTTGTATTATATTTTATAAACCACGGTAAATCTTAGTATTGGCAATGTAGGTTTTTGTAAATATTTTTATGGAATATACTCTATCCTGATCTCTGTCATGTTTCTATTATGGCAGTTGGTGATGACTGTTGTGTGATCAAGAGAACTGGTGGAGAACTGAAAGAATAATGGCTCCCTCAGCCTGTGATTTGCAAGAGGAATTATATGACTGATGCTGTATTTGGTTGCCATTGAGTTCTGAGTTTAGTTGATAGCAGTTTATAGCTGGTTTGGCTTGTACTTTACTGGGCAACATGGCCTAAAAGTTCTCTGTGTAAAAATATTGACTAGAAAATCATAGAATTGTAGGATGGCCTGGGTTGAAAAGGACCACAGTAATCATCTATTTCAACCTCCCTGCTGTGAGCAGGATCACCAACCACCAGACCAGGCTTCCCAGAGCCACATCCAGTCTGGCCCTGAATGCCTCCAGGGATGGGGCATCCACGACCTCCTTGGGCAGTGATTGTATTAAACTGATTGTCGGGAAGTGATCAGTTAAAAATGTTTCTTCTTAACCCTTGTCATTTGTTTCAGGAAATTGAAAGGTTGGAAAGTAAATTAAATCAGAGCCCAGAAAGATGGCAGCTTTTGTGGGAAAGGGTCAAAATGAATCTAAAGGATGACACTAGACAAGACAATGTAAGTAGCAAAGGAACTCTTCCAGCACAGGCTTTATACCTGGGACACTGTCAAAATCACTGTGTTTCTTGGAGTAAAGTACTGCTTTTGAAAAACTGAACATGTTGTTCTAACCTTGGATACCAGCTCTGTATCTCTACACATAGAAAAACATGTTTATACTTATTTACACCATTTAATTAATTACTTCTCAGCAGTAGATTAAGGCACGTAGACAAAATGAGCACAAGCATTTTACTAGTACAAAATTGTATGACTCGATATTATTAAAATATTCATTGTGTCAAAGTCTTCAAGTACAAAAAAAAAAAATCAGTTCCTGGAGGTAGCCGAAAGGAAATGACAGAGGTTCAAGGATAAGTAAAGATATTTCCATGTCTACATGGAATTTTGGAATTGTAGATTCTGGTAAAGGCAAGAAACTGTTCGTGCTATGTTTCTGGTTCTTGACTCCTGTAAAATGAGTAGCTGACATTGCAGATATTTTCTAATTCAAAAGCAGCCTTTTTTTTCTTTTCTTTCTTTCTCTCTATGTGCACTAGGAAGTTTGTTAGATAATGGCTTTGGGGAGCTTTCTTTATCAACTTGGCATAAAACTGTGCCATAACTCTTCAGCTTTACAAACTTGTTCAAGTTTGCCAGCCTTCGTGAGTTTGTTAGTTTTCAGAACTACTCTGTTATTTGTCCTTTGATTTCAATAAAGCAATAAGTTTTATGTCTATCATAGTCATTTAAGTTCACCTCGTACCTAAACAAACCCAGAACGGAAGGTTTTTTATATGAGCAAAGCAGAGGATTAAGTTTTTATTGAATAATTGGAAGCAGAAAATTAAATGCAAGTATAAATGTACCTGACATCAGTCTCTTGTTCTCAGATAAACGTAGTAGCTAAGAGTCAGCTCCAAAGAATTCTCTAGGATGCTGTTCTGCAGATTAAGACCAAATTCAGGGGTTACTGAGAATCTACTAAAAAGACTTAAATCTATAAAGTAGCTCTTGGAAGCTTCACTTTTTTTTTTTCTTTTCAACTAATGAATTTATGGAAATTTATTGTATCCAAATGTCTGACTACTTCTAGATGATTCTGAGAAAGCAATGGAAACAATATTCAAATTTATGTCACTGGAATAAACAAGGCTTTTCTTAAATAATGTCTTTTCACACTTTGTGATTGTATCCTCCTGCATAGGAAATGCAGTGAAATGCCATCTCTATGACTCTTCAGTGGCAACACTGATTTGTGTTATGAAGATTTTTTTCCTCCCGTAGTAATTCACAATTTACACATTGTACTAAATATTATTTGTGTAGAATTTTGAGATCATCTCAAAATGCATGACAAACAACTCAATTTCTACAGCGAACAGAAGTGATGTAGGGATAATATTACAGAGAAAGAGCAAGCTGGTATGTATCTCTCCCATGTGTTTATTAAGTTAAAGGTTTGCCTTGTTGCAGTGAAGAGTGATTTTGTGTTCTGAGTGTTGCTACACACATTTTTATTTTGCAAATAACAAACTGTAGATCAAGTCAAAACAATATGCTGAATACTTAATATTAAGAAGGTGGTTACACACCTTACTTCCTCACAGAAATTCCAAATTCCAAACAACTGTTGATGTTCAAATTGCTGCAAATGGATTTGAGCAAATAAATTGCTGCAAATGTTTTAGCAAATCCTTGCCAAGTATCGACAAATCTTACCAGGGTAAGGTTGCATTTATCATATAAGCACTGATAAAATTAAAGCTGAAAAATCATGATGTCAGTGTTCACAGATGTGTACAAAGCTGATGGCTGGAATTGTGAAGTTACACCAGAATTCAAACCCATGAGATGCTCTCTTTATTGAGGAGTGCATTTCCGTTAAAATTGCACTTCTGTATTCTCTTCAGATTCCTCTTGCACACAGCAGCATTAATGAGAGCAATGAATATAGACTAGATTCTGATCAATTGAGACTAAAAGCATGTAAAAATAAAATATTAACAGATCTTTAGTAATAGATCAGCTGTAGTTCTTCACTGTTCATATATTTAATGCAAATTATTAACTATATAGACTACCAGGAAGAGTTGTGGGTCGTGTTTATTTCAAAAAGAATGTTATGTTTTGGTTTTCTACTGTAATACATTTATAACGTTTTAGTTCATCAAACAATCAGATTTCTCAGTTCTAAATTTGCCTAGATCTTGTTTAAGATTGTTTTATTTTCTTCTTTGTAGCTTCAGAGACATCCTTCTGGCTCCTCAGGGATGATGTCAGCTAATCTACATTCCTATCAAAAGAGATCTTTGTTGGAAATGCCTGACAATGGGCTGGGTGAGGAACAGAGTGCAAGCATCTCTCCCTCCAATGGAGTAGATAGGAGAGCAACTACGCTATACAATCATTTCACTTCAAAGAATGATGAAAATAGGTAAACCAAACAGTCAGAAAGTATTTATGAACCTTGTATAAGAATGGTACAAGCCTTAGGAAAAAAATGAATCTTTTGTATACATAGATCTTTCAGTCTTTCCCTTTCTAAAACAGGAAGGTTTTGGTTATGGTTGTCCAACCTTTTGGCTTGGCTGGGCTGCACTGCGTGAAGTTGTCTTGGGTCAACATAGGTTGCTCTGACAGAATACAATAGCACTGTTCAGTAGGGCAAATTCTCAGCTACAAAACACTATTTTTCAACATAGGCACCACCATTAGCTGTTCATTTTTTGCCAGCAGTGAACAAGAGCCTGCATGCTGCGCTTATAAAAATTTGCACCAGTAGAGGTGATGCAGTATTGCTGTCACCACTGCTGAAATGCACCACCACCACCTGACTGTGCTCGCATCCAGGTTTCCAGGAACAGCAAGTGTTGATGAATGTCAGTGGGTGCAATTTTTTTCCCTATGGAGGAATTCAGTTACGCCCATTTGCCTTCATGCTCATTTCCATGTCAGATGCCATTTTGTCAGACTTCCCTCTGCCACCATCTCTCACACAGCAACCACAAGGGAATACTGGTGGGAAGGTTCAGCCCCTACTGTCAGACCACCACCATCTGCCTCTGATGCTGTGGGCCATCATAATAAAACGGGAGACATTTTAATATTTTTCTTAAGATGTTAAAAAGTGAACAGCAGAGACGTAAAGCTGATGGGACATTTGACCCTGTTTTTGTAAAACTAATGCATCAGCCTCGTTTCTTGGCAGTAGTTGCAATTTGCAGTGAAGTCACCAGGGTTGCATCACAGATTTTTGATGAAATTTTACTCTTCATATATTTCATGCTTAACAATTGTTCACAAATTTACGTTGTACTAAAAAGCAATTACATGAATAAGACATGGTTGTGAAGCAAGGGATATTTTTCTCTGGTAAGATAGGGCTTTTCATGTCTCTATACGAGACTTTTATCACATTTTTGGATTGGATATCTGATTGCAACTCTATGTTTCATTTGAAAAGTAACAGGTAATGTATTTATATCAACTGAAAATGGTACCAGGCTGCATGTAGTCCTCGAGCCACAGGTTGGACATGCCTGGACTGTAGCTGCATATTGAAAGGGACTAGAGTGCTGAAATAGTGTTTATCACTGTATCAGTCACCAAACTAGGCTGTTGTTTAAAAATGATTTGTTTCACAACAGTAAAAGAAATGCTTAAATATTTTTTTAGTCATTTGGGGTTTTATATGTATTTATATATCACTATTCACATGTGTCACTATCATCATGTGTCGTTTGTATTTTCTGCATCTTCCAGATCTTTTGAAGGTACGCTGTACAAAAGAGGAGCTTTGCTGAAAGGCTGGAAGCCCCGCTGGTTTGTGCTGGATGTGACCAAACACCAGGTAAAAACTTTTCAATATTGGTTTTTTTTTAATGTCAAGTTTGCTGCATTTTTATTTATTGATTTAGTTTAATTTTACAAGTAATCAGCAATAATAATTATTTTCAGAAGCAATGTGTGAATTACATTGTTATAGACTCTGTGTGTACTGTGTGACTGATAAAACATTCTGAATGGACAGTTTGAGGAGGTAGCAATTTTTAAAGCATTTTTAACTCTACAAGATCATTAAGCAAATAAGTGTTGAGTATCATCAGGCATTCTAGTATGACCTTATAGTTTCCAGAAGAACCAAAATCTGTTTTAAATAGCTGGAAACTTAGTATGTAATTTCTTGATTGCAGTTGGGATTCTGAGAGATAATATGGTAACTGATAGCAAGTTTCAATTGTTAAAACTGGAGGAGGTACTTAATGCTTCCAAAGCATGTATTTTACATCCTCTTTGCTCCTCAAGTACTTTGTCATGAGCATTTTTCTTTACATGAAATAACATTGTATTCTCTGAAAAAATATCACCTGAATTGCTTTTATGGAAAAGTCCATTTACCTCACTTGGCATTTGTGGTGCTCTTCTGAAATCTGTACTTGAGGCAGCTAACGTGAGTGAAACCTTGGAAGTATTTTCAAATCTGAAGAATAGGAACAGCTATCTTTCTGAGATCAGTTAGAGTTCTTTAAATTAAAGGGAGTTAGAATTTCACCCCCAAATTTTCCCTCTAAAGTCTTCAAATGCCAAGTTCCTGATTAAACAATAGTGTTAGGTGGTATATATAGGAGTAGTTTAAATTCTTCACAGTGAGGTAAGCTTAATAGCCAAATAATTCATAAATATTCTGAAAAATCATTGTACATCAAGAAGCACTAAAAATAGGGTATCTGTTGGCCTAAATATTTTACCTGATTTACAGAATTTGACAGTGGAAATTTGTGATCTTCCATGCTTAAAATAATATTGAGTGATGAAGAAGTAATCTTTACTGAGCAAAATGTTCCACATAGCCACACAGTGCAGGTTGTTCAAATAACTTCTGAGACCTGTGTGTGCTTTGTTAGAAAATATATTAATGCATTGTAATTAACACTTTAAAAAATATGTAATACAAGACAGTCATTTTTAAGCCACTCATTGAGGATCCCCGGATTATGCTATGTGGTAATATACTAGCAAATGTCCTAATTGTAATTGTTGCTCCTGAAACAGAAGAGAGAAGACTCATCATTCTGCAGAGGAAAAAAAAAAAAAGACTTTTAAATTTTTTGTAAACCAAATATCCTCCTGAATATCACAGATGTAAGAGTATATGCAGTCTGAAGCAGATACAAGTCGATCGTAGCTTGAATTCTCTGGCTGTGAGGGTTTGCTTTACTATAATGCATCTGTTTATGGATTGTTGTATTTTATCTTTTTTTTTAGTGAACTCCAGATTTTATCTTCTGGAACAATTTGTATATCAAAACTCAGCTTACAGTGATTTGCATTCATATTACAGTATCTCTGCTAGGTGGAAAAAGCAAGTCTTGTTCAACCACTAAATATAGGAAAATTGAAGTTTTCTGTGTTTATAATTATCTAAAATCATTCTTAAATTTTTGCTGATCATTTTCTATTCTTGAAATACAGACAATTAATATTTTCTTAACTCTTTGGTGGAGTAATGTTCTTGTGTTAGTTTCATTGAAATGAACAGGGAAGAGATTGCTTCTGGGCAGAGGATTTGTGAAGGATAAGAGCAGAATCTTGACTTCAGGAGTCAGCAGTCCTTATCAGTTTTTCTGACAGAAACAGTGTTTAACTGTTAGAAGCTTCTCTGCTCTGAGATTCTCATGACAACACGTTCTCTCAGTTCAGTGATCTGCACAGGAGTGGATGGTGGAGACATTGCTATTAGCCAGAGATATCAAATAGAGGTCTGGCCAGTAAAAGGCTCTCAACAGTCCCACTATCTTGTATACCAGACCAATGACTGTGTCTTAGCAATTGCCTATGTCTGATGGCTTCAGGTGTTAATAGCATTTTTTCTTCCTACCTTCACTCCCCAAATCCCCAAGTTATATCCAGGAAAGGACAATAAAGGTAATAAAAATGAAAGGTCCATCTGAATAGTGTATTTGGATTTAACTTTTCTCTCTCATGTGGTCTAGTTACGATACTATGACTCTGGTGAAGATACAAGCTGTAAGGGTCACATAGACCTCGCAGAAGTAGAAACAGTGATTCCTGCTTCTCCAACTATTGGAGCCCCAAAACATGCAAGTGAAAAAGCATTTTTTGATGTAAGTGTATCTGGTTTTTATTTGATGTTTGCCTGAAACTTTCCTTGTTTAACCTGCTACTTTCATTCTGTCTGGAAGATGAGAGCTTGAATGGAGCTGCCATGCCAACTCAACACAGAAAGTTTTTATGGAGCTAGCTAGTCATGATTCTCAACAGCAGAAATTAAAACAAATAAACAACAAAACCCATACATTCAGACTCAATTAGTAGATTACAGCTGAAAGTAAAATTTATAAGTTTCTTTTTCTATTTTGTGTGTTGACTTTTCACGTTCTTGTTTTTCTTTTGCAGTTGAAGACAAACAAACGTGTGTATAATTTTTGTGCCCAAGATGCACAGAGTGCTCAACAATGGATGGACAGAATCCAGAGCTGCATTTCAGATGCTTAGAAAGGAATAACATTCCATTATCAAGATATGTTTAAAGCAACTCTTTTTGTAAGATGTGTTCTGAAATGTTGCTGACAACCAGCCTTCCTTACATTTCAGCTATAGACATTGATAATATGCTGAAGTTTCTTTTCTGTTTAATAATTATAACCACTGTAACCGTTTGGTTTTTTTTTCCTGCAGGGAGGACTTTGAAAAATAATAATTCATTTATCCTGAATTTCCACTTTCTTCAGTACAATTCCTAGCTAGAAAAGTGAGCCGTATTTGCACTATTTTCTAATCCTCATTTTCTCATTTCAGAGTTGCTCTGATAAGGAAAGCTGTCCAAAGTAGCTTGTAAAAATCTCTACAGCAGAAAGTCTATTTTCTCCTTATTTATATTTTTAAACAGAAATTCTTATTTCCAAGGTAGTCATTGTTAAGAGGAAACATGTCTACAATTCTTAAAAAAAAGAAAGAAACAAAGCTTGTGAGTCCAGTGACATATATATCAGATTGGTGATATTAAAACTGTTGATATTTTTTTAAGACCAAAAAAATGAAATTGCCATTCTGAAATTAACAGATTTTCAAGTGTCTTCTCAGCATGCAGGCCAGTCTTTAATCTCGTGCTCTACAGAGTGCTTCAGCGATGTTGTTATGGAATTTCAAGTTCCAGGGGTTATCTGAAGATCATAGCACTTTCTTTTTAGATTCTGTTTGCTATTATGATGGGATATGTGAAAGAAATCTGGCTGACACTATCGTAGAGATGCAGGAAAAAACAAACTAGGAATTTGGTAGAAGGAAGATCTCTTAAGTGTGAGTTGTATATGTTAATTTATATGCTGTTCTGCTCACTGTAAAATAAAAAATAACAAACGTGATGATAATGCACTAAACAGTGGAGCAAGCACTTGCACTGAAATCTTTAAAATGCTCACATTTTGAATGACAGGTAAGTTATTTATAGCAGAACAATACTAGCTAGTTAACATTTACAGATATTAAATATGTAAATAATCTGGGTTGATGTGTTGTGATTTGATACTTTTTAAACATTTTTGCACATAAATTGGAAGATTGTTTATAGATTTTTACATTTGATAAAATTGTGTTTGTTCAACTTAAAATCTTGGGAGAAATGTGTTTAATAACCCCAAATTATTAAAAGTTTTACAGTCTACAAATAGTGATGACATTGAGTAGAATCTGTAGGTAACTAAGCCATTGTTTTTATTTTGATATGTTAATATGTTAAATAGCACACTAATATTACAAAAAAATGTATATATGATTCAGTATTTTCTCATTTTTTTTCCAGACATTCTGCTTATAACTTAATGTCAGCCTAATCAAACTGACTATACTTATTACAGTTTTTCAGTTATTAATGTTTTTTGTTTGTTTTTTATAACTAATGTATTTTGTCAGAAAGGAATATGAACTTCTCACTTCACATACACAATAGGTAATGCAGCTGTTTTCAATGCATTTACAATTTCAAAACAAAGAAAATGAAGGATTTTTCTAGCATTTTTCAACTGACAAATTTCCACCTGTGACAATGGTGTTTGCACATTTGTATGTTTCTTTGTATATGAAGTACTTTTATATGTACTTTGTAAAATACTGATCCTGCTACTAGGTTATATGAAAATTTACATACCACTTCTTATTTTGTAACTGGTTCATTTTAACTCTTGTATGTTCTGTGATATAATCATCTTGTAATAAACACACTTCTTAAGAAAAACCCTTCCTTTTACTGTAAAAAGAGAAATCAGCAAGACCCACATGTTGAAATACTTCCACAGGCACAAGACAAATCCTTATTTACTCTGTATTAAGAATTGTATGGTCTTTTGTATACTTGTACATATTCTTACACAAGAGTTGCACTTCAGCATCCTTAACTCAAACACTTGTCAACAGTAACATTAAAGACTAAAGAAATCAGAATTTAAAGCAAGATTATCATTCTAACAAGTCTCAATGTATGGCCTTTATGAAAAGACTAAATATGTAACATCTCTACTAAGCTGTTGAATAATTATGTTAAATATTAGAAAAAAAAAGGGGGGAAAAAGATTTTTCCCATATGCTCTCACAACATAAATCAGCCATGTGCTTTCACCATGAAACATATCTCGATCATTTATGTCACCTTATTGATAAGCAATCTAGTATGAAATAATTAAAATAGAAGAAATGACAAGATCTTATTGGAGAATAGCATCTAAATTGAATTCCTGAGTGTGGTGTGGGTTAGCAGAGTTAAAATGGAAAGGGAATGTGTGATGGAGGTAGGGGACTTGTGACAATTCTTAAATGCTGTGGTGCTTAGAGTTTGCATATTGAGCTTGGCATGAATGCTAATGTTGCCTTAAATGTTGATCTCAATTTTTAGTGTATTGATGGAAAATGGACTTGAGCAACTTAACTTAAAAATATCCAAATAAAAGCTGAAATGAGATATCAATATTTGTGTTGTTTATGTAAAGAATATACAAATGAATGCTAGGCCTACATAGGTTCTTGGTGTGAAGACAAAGAATTGGTAGTGTACCTTAGGGTTTCTTCTATACAAAGCAAAGATTCAGATGGAAACTCAGAAGAAATGTGTAGAAGTTAGAGTAGCATAAGCTGCAAGGTTTTTCAACCTGTTTCAGTTGTGGCAGCAAGAGTAGAGTAAGAGTAGAAAATTAGTTTGGGAAAAACTCCATGTGAAAAGGGATCCATCTTCTTCATACTCCATGGAAAAGGAACCCTTCCAGGAGTTCAGGGTGAGGTAAGTATGTCCTTCTAAAGAGCAGGGGCTCTTTACTTAAGGGAAGGTGGATTTCTTAGCTTTGTTTGTGTTGAGAAACAAACTGCTCTTAATAGGTGATGGGATGAACTGAATTTAAGTTTGGAAGAGTTTTACAGGCATAGTATATCAGAAATTTCTCCTTATCTAACACTTAAGCATTTTGTATTCCGTATTTTGTATGGAACTTCGGAATTATTGTATTAAATAATACAGCTCAGAACATGCCACATGTGTGGGTCACTGGTTACGTAACAATACACAAACAGCTAGCAGACCTAGGACCAAATGTTCAAAATTTTGTATCACATCCCACACACATTATTAGTATCTGATACTTTGCAAACTGCAGACATAACAAAAATGTAGTGATTTTTTCCAAATACTGTAATTTTGTTTTTTCATCCTGTAATATTCTTGGAGTATGCTTAAGTGGCTGCACCACATTTCTCATTTTTCATATCTGTGATCATACAAATATTTTGTCTGTTCATGATTATCCTGTGGTTGCTTTGGGGAGTCAAAAAACTGAAATGAGTCCACCAGTTCCCCAGTTATGCTAAAGTTCATGCTGAGTATCACTGTCGCATCTACTTTTAGAGTTTTTGTCTGTATTAGTCTAGTTTCTTGCCAAATTTTGGCTACCGTGTAAGCATGCTCATTTAAGAAATTTTCACCTTTGTGTTTTTTTCATGTGTAGCAACTTTTTTTTAATTGTATGTCAAATAGAGATGCTCCAGATTCAATGTCATTTACTCTCTGCTTACTCTTCCATCTAGACTCTCAAAGGAATGACTTGCTGATACAAAGACTGCTGATAGGAGTTGCTTTTGTTTTCTCTTGCATAATACAAAATCTTCAAGGTCTAATTTAACCTATTGTTATTTTTTTGCTTTAGACCTTTCTGGTTTAAGCTGGTAAGAATGATCACCCAGAGGAACTCTTCAATTCTGTGTCTTTAATCCACCCCTCTTTAAGGTTGTCTGTGTGTGCAAATGCGTGTAGTGAACTGTCTACCATCTTTATCTACAATCACACTCCAGTAATTAAAAGTCAGATACTAAGATACCTTTTAAGGGTAAGGTTCCCTTCTTTCCACTAACAGTTATTGAAATTTCTCATTGGCATATTTTATAATCAACTGTAAAATAATACAGCTTTTAGTAAGCCAGGAGTATTATAATGATTAGCTGAGTCATCCCTGAGAAGATGAAGAGTCTTTCTTGAACTGAGATACTTGATTTCGTATGTGGGTTCTGTGTGCTACTTCTAGAAAATTCTGAAAACCCAAACTTGGAACAGAAGGTAAAAGCTGTATTTTAAAGACAGTCTGTCTAACGTTTGTTCATTTACACCTTCATCTCTATGCAGACTTTACAAACCAGAAGATGCACTAGTGGCAGCTGAATTAAAATTCCAGATCGCTAGTGGTATCTACCCACAGTACTGTCCTATTTGTCTTTTTTATGGTGGTCTGATCTGATTGACCTCTGCTTCTATAAAATATTGCTTGTTGTCAACATCCAGCATGAAACTAATGCTCAATTTCAAGTTGCATGATGTGGTTCATGATTCTTATATTTTTCAGATTTTGCACGTTCTTGAATAGGAAATATTGCTTGACTGTGGCAAATTTAAAGTTACGGTTTCCATTCCATATTTTTTTTAATGGATGTTTTGTTTAAATGTCTTCTAGGGAATTCTTAACCTATGATTTTGTCTACAAAGTGGGTAATAAATAGAAGTTGGAAATAGCTAGGATAAAAATAACATTATATTTCCTGGAAAGAGGTATAAACATAGCTGGTTTTTTACACGTTAAATGGTACTTGATATTCTGTCTTCATTTTTGTTTATCGAATGTCTCTCAGTGTTGAAGTCAATAAGGATTCTTGTATTTCAGTTCCCCTAAACCTACCACCAAACAACACCTCCAAACCTTGTAGTGTTCCTTTGCATTAAATATCTCTTTTTATTGTCCAGAATTGATGCTAGATTCAACATCACTGCTTCATGATGGACAGATGGGATTATTTCAAGTTTAATACCAGAAAGTGTTTTGTGCAAGTGCTTTCTCAGTAAGAACAAATGCTCAGGTATCTCAAAAAATGAACAGTATGCTGACAGCACTGCGTTCCTTGCCAGGTTGCAGTGGCTGCAGGTCATAATTAATAGTGCTGGTGAGTTCAAAGTTATATTTACATACAAGACCTCCAATAAGTTCAAAATTGTAACTACATAAGTTTGTGGATAAGTATATGAATCAAGTTCAATATAGTAGATAATAGTATAGGTAAAATCACTACGTTTAAATGCTTATGGATTCAGGTTCTGTGTACATTGGATTGTTTTTGTGCCACTGCAGTGGTTAGAGCTTTTTTATTTGTGCTGTTCTGTCACTGGCAAACATGTTAGCTGAATGAAATGCTTACACTAACATTTTATTTCTATTAAAAAATACATGCTAAAAACATTAAGGGCTTTGTAGCATTTCATGATGGCAAATGATTTGGAATTGGAATTTTGAAGAAAATGTTGGAGAGTTACCAACCCAGTCACCACTGAGTATTGATGAAGTCGGACAGAGTGTTTTCTCTGAGATACCTGTAAGATATTACTCTTTGTGATACCCTTTTAAAATCTGCAGGAAAGGTTTTTGTTTAGAATATGTGTCCTTTTGGTAGTGCCCCCAAACTAGTCTCATTAGCTTATGTCACTGCTTTTAAATTTAATGAGATTAAGTTCAAAAATCACTCATGCTTTCCCTGCTTGTTGTTCCCAAAACATGTTTCATTCTTTAGAACTATTTAGAAAGTTAAAATTAAAATGATCTTGGCTTCTTCCACCTCAGGCTCTTGATTCAAAGGAAAGTGCTTGCAGACAGTCTTCTCAGGTATGAACATGTAGCAATACCTGAAATCTGGAAAATATCCCATCAAGTGATAATGAACCAGAGCCAGGAACAAATTGAGGAATTAGTTATGGTACGTAAAATCATGTCATTGATCACTGTATGTATCACTTATGTTAACAGTGTCAAGACAGCCTGAAGGTTAGATTACAATCTCTAAAAAGTCTAAAATTTTGCTACAGCAGACAGCTGTTTTTGACCCTAAAATATCTGAGATTTGTATCCTCTTCTTCCTATAATCAGCGTTCTTCCAAAATTTTGTCTATCCAGTGACACAAATTTCTGTAGGGAAATCACTTTTTTGCCAGTCATTTCAATTGTTAAATCACGCATCTGATCAAATAGCAATAATTGGGATAGCCTCAGAGTAAAAAAACAAACATAGCTATTCACCATGACACTGAATTATTTTTTTAATTCAAGGAATACTGCGCACAGAATTCTATTGTGTTATGTGAGTTGATATTCCTTTTTTTTTTTTTTTTTTTTTTTTTGATGTAAGGAAAGCATTTCTTATTTGATGATGGCATCCCAAGAAAGCTCGATTATTTATTTATAATATGAGTACATGCAACCTAAATAGACAGGGATCCTTCCGTTTACCTTGGGATTCCAGTCCACTGTTCTCTTTTAACCTTCTCTGTTCACTATCAGTCCGAGCTGCATGAAAGTGTAGTGAGGCCTACAGTGGCACTTGAAATTACAAATAACTCTATTTCTGCCTTGATTAGTCCATAGTGGAAGTCAGGATTTTAGATAAACCTTTGTATGTATTTTCTTTTCATCCAAGTCAGGATGAACAGAGATTATGAAGGCTATAGAGATCAAAACATAGAAAGGCACAGGAGCAAATCCAGCCCTGGCTGGTATTCAGCACCTAATGCAACAAGAAGTCGATGCCAGTGTAAAACAGATCAGAATAGCGGATATAAGCAGCTTGGCACTGGCTTGTCCATTGGATAATCAAAGAGGAAAAGGGGAGGTGACAGGGGAGTGTAAGAAAGCTCATGCTGCAAATAAGAAATGCAGGTAAGCAGGCTGTGGAACTGGGTCCCATAAACTTACATCTCCAAAATGTAGTAAAGGAAGTCTCCCAACCTCCTTTACCTGAGCGGTATTGCTATCTGTTCTCCAAAAATCTTTCTTTATGCTCATCTCACTCTCTGTTTGGTGTTTTTGACCTTTGCTTGTCTGATCATGTCTAAATTTAGATGAGGAATTTTTGAGAAGCAGAGATTGGTGTTAGCTTGTTCCCTAGAGGTGTCTAGAGTACTTCCAGGTGCTGTGATCTAGTGCAAGCCAAAAGGGAAACAGTCTTTGTTTAATAAAGCTCCCTGAAACTAGAGGCTAATTCAAGTCGTACACCTATTTTGGAGGGTAATTATACAGTGTTGGCAATTGAGATTAGTCTGCCATAATGGATAAGGGGCCACTTAAAAAACTGGGATCTGAGCCTGGATTTCAGACACTCTCAGCATTTGACATGAGATTATCACTTTTTGGAACTAGATGAGCAACACTGAAGAACGAGGTTAACATGAAGCCAACATCAAGTATGCTGAACTCAGGTCATTGAAAATACCATTGCTAATACTACTATAAGTGTATTTCCAGTAGAACATCACAGCTTTGTTTATCAAAAGCAGACAGCCAAATTATTATCAGCTGCTGGAGATGGGTGCAAAGGATGCACTGTCAAGTCTCTGCTTCAGTTTCCAAATTTGGGCATTATTTCTGTGATGTAACTTACTTTTCTGTTATATGTATGTTCTCAATTGTTAAATAGTTAATAATACAAGAATTTATACTTACAGTAGGCTAGTATGGATGACTTTGGTTTAATGGTTAATTAATTTCTTTATTTGCTGCATAACCCAAAATAATCTGGCTGCAAATTTTCTTACACTTCCCTTTAGCTTAGGGATCATGAACTATACTGTCAATGGCAGAATAGAAGGAGAAATAGAGCAGTTTGTTGACAAAAATTGCTAGTACATTGCTGTGTAGGGTAATTACTGCCAGTATTGTTTTAAATTATTTTATAACTAATACTGTTATTTTTTGTAACAATGAGTGAATCCACAGTCATCTATTTGAAGCTGTGTGGCACACCTAAAATTAAATGTTTGATGCGTATACTTGTTTTTCAAGCTTGAAATCATGCAGCTATCGTGCTGTTTCTGTTTTACCCACAAAGCAAAGAAGCAAAAGCTAGAAGTGATATGCCAGCAAAAGTAGGCCCATATGTCACTCACCAGTGCTAGAGGTACTATAATTAAACAACCTTAGTAGATAGTATAGGCACTTAATTCTCTTTAGTTTGCAATAAATTGTCCAAGCATGCTGTAACTTTTGTTGCATCAAAGCTGTTCCATTTAAAGATTGAAGCAATGTTAATGCACTAGACATTGTAAGAAGAAGTAATCAATAGCCCTTGAAAAAGATGACCGTTAAAACACCATGCAGCTTTTCTTGCAAAATTAGAAGTCTGGTTTGCAAAGCTTGAAGGAAAAGGGAGATAAGAAAGAAACTTATAGTCCCTTTTAAAGAAATGGACAGTAGTTGTAAAAGGAGATGTCTTTACCAAACAAACCCTCATATTTACTGACATCTGAATTAATCACTGCTGGGTTAAAAAAGATAAATGTTAGTTATAAATCTTTTCTTAGGAGTTCTGAATTTCTAAATGAAATGCAAATTTCATGTTTCTGTGGCAGGAAATGTACGAATAAACACATGCATAATAAAAAATGCTAAAAGTAGATGCTAAATCTGTTAGTCCTTGCATTGACACCAAGTTAGCATTTACAGAGGAGAGAAGAGACAGAAGAGTGAGGTAGTCTAGAGCTGGTAAGACAGCAATCAGGAAAAAGGAAAAAAATGGAAGAGGGCTCTTTACATAAAATATTTGGGAAATGCTCACGTTTTGCTTGGTATTGCTCCACCTAGCAAAGAACTTAGAAGAATTTAAGGCTAAAAGTCTCAATCCCAGCACAGACAAAGATAGCAGATTATTTTTATCTAGGTTTGAGTTATGCTGCAGGAGCATGGAAGCCCTTCCTTCTAAGGAAAAAGACAGGGCAACCTAAGAGATGGAAAACTTGTTTGTTTTACATTAATTTTACTATTTAAGTAGACGTTATTTGAATTAATGCTTCGTTTTTCTGAAAAAGAAAAGAAAGATTGTAATGAGGACAGCAGATACTAAAGCCCTTGCCAGAAACAGATTCTGAATGGATAAAATTGCACCAGAGGAGTTGCCCTGGGGTGCTGGCCCAGGACAACTGTAAATGTGCAACGCAATACAAATGAGTAAGTGTAAATGGTTAACCAGCATGAAAGTGTCTGCAGCTGTAAATGCTCTCATCTGAGGATAGAGACTGATTGCTAGCTGTGCCTGGTAGAAGTACAGGGAAACTGTTCACCTCCACAAAGATGGGTAGAAGCTTTAAGCTGAGCAAACATGGCAAAAAAGAAAGGTTAAAAAGAAACGCACCTAATAAATTCTGTAATACGTTCCTTATGCCAAGTGGGGTTTCTTCCTACTTGTTCTGGATCTCATCACAGAAAAAAAGTGGGCCTCAGCCCAGTTATGGCTCATGGACAGCCCAGCTGGGGCAGCAGGCACTTTATGAGTGCCACCTGTGCCAGTAGCTGGGGTGGGGCTGATTTAAACAAAGAAGGGGCTGTAGATTGGCCATAGGAGGAGCACCTGTGTCAGTAACTGGGACTGTTTCAGATAGAGAAGGGCCTGGAGCAGCAGCCATGTGTGTGGCTTTGTGTTTGTTCCTGACTTAGTATCTGTAAGGTGATAGAGTCTGGAAAGAGCAGGCTTTAGTACGTGTAACAGAGTCAAGGCTTGTTGGATGAGGCTGCCTTCACATGCAGCAGAGCTCCTCTGAACCCTGAGTAAGAAGAAAACAGGAGTTGCTGTGTTACCAGTGTGCGGCTTCTAGCAATTTATGTGTGATTTTAGCTGCCATTCTTAGAGGTAAGCATGGGCCCTAAAGGGTTGGAAGAGCAGTGCTGTTATGATGTAGTTCCTAGAATTATTGTTCTCTGTTAACTGCTAGAACATGAAGACTTTCTTGTGCCATAATAGCTCAGTATGCAGCTGTTAGCATGCAGTGGTCTTTGCACGTGTTATTTTATGAATGTGGTATTGGTGTGCTTTTGAGGGTAATGTTCTGTCCTGAATGATTAGCCTGCAAGCTGTTTTGGGAAGATATTCTAAGCTCTTGTATGCATCAAAGGACCTACTAACTTAAATGAAGGAGTTCCTTGGTGATTGTTTTATTTATTTGTGTGCTACTTGTCGTGTCACCTCCTGCTTAAAAGTAATTTGTGGCTTGAGACTCAACTGCTATGATCTGGGGAGCTAACTCTTCCCTGAGAAAGGAGGTTTATTGTGCTGTTCAAGTTGTTGCTCTAAAACCAGCTGCATAACTTAGTGGTTAGTGATTAAGGTTCACTGCACCACTATCAGTACAATTTACACAAAGCTGTTAAGTTTACAGATTCTGCATTCTGCATAGGCTGTATCTCTTATCAACTGTAAGGCAAATTCATAGTAGTTTTCTCTCTAACTTGTAACAAATGGAGCTTTGCAAAATCCTAGCAAAATCTATTATATGCTGTAGAAATGGAATTGAGCCAAGAAGTGCCTGCAGCTGTTTACTAGGTCATTACACATTTTGGATCCACATGTACCTCTGCATGAAATAAGCTCTTCAGGATAAACAAATAAAAAATGGACATATAAGAAAATAAGTACAACTAGCCCACCTTCAGCATCCAATTTCTACATTATGATAGAATTTTTCTGCATGCAGTCCCAATTCCCTAAAGGATTTAGTATAAATCAGGAATACCTCTGAGTGTAGTCATGTCAATAGAGTTATTCTACTGGAAAATAAAATACCTAAATTGTGCAGAAGCTGAAGGTATTGAAGCTATGTCAAGTAAAATAAACTTTGGACATTGTGTTCTTGTGATGGAGAATATTTGGGTGTTGTAATTTGCTTTAAAAACAAGTGCAAGTAGTTGTTGCATGAGGTACTGAAGTCAGACTGTTCACAGATCAGATGTTTTACCTGCCAACCAAGGATTCCTGATTAATCTTGCATTACAGTGTGCTAACAATTACTGTTAGGTTTTCAGCTTTTTTTCATGTTGTTGACCATGTCTTATGTTTGTGCTTCTGCCATCTTGGAAAAGGGTTTTTCAAAGTTACCGCTATCAACAAAGAATCTCCTGTGCTCAGAAAGGATAAGGTATTCTTCTTATGCTGATCTTGAGAGTAGCATGCCTCTATGCTGTGCATTTAATGCATTATTTATGTCACTGACGTGTGTGATGTGCCAGTTGAGACGATCTCTTTGCATGTTGTTGCCCATCCAATGGTACGTGACCAATTAAAGAAATTCCATGTTGCAGCTGAGTCCTGTAGGAGGTGCGTGTAGTGTCTTCAGGTAAACCTACTGTGTTAAACGAGACAAGTCTTTCTTTCATTACAGCAGTACTTTTGGATGTAGCTGAATCACAGAAGACAACATTTGCCTTTCTCTTAGGCAATATTGTAGCCAACCAGAACATTTCTCAGAGATTACATGAATATAAAAAGCATATACTTGATATTATAGTGCTTAGTTTTGCTTATGCTTGACTTCCTGAATAGTATTGTCAACAGTAAAAATGTACGGAGTACTCCATTTTCTTAGCATACTGTTTGATGGGTCCGTTACTTTGCTGTCATAGGTAGCAAAATCCAAGAAAAAGTGTAACTGAACTGTGACCGTCATATATGTGGGACCAGGAAAAGGTCTACTTTTAATTTCTCTGGGGTTTTTTTGTTCATTTGTGAACTCTTATTTTTGCAGTAAAATTATGTTCTCCTTAACTCTTTGAGAAAACTCACCCTGAGTTCAACAAAGCAGAGATTTCGTCCCCCAGGAAGGTTATTGTATGTGTTAAATTGAATTTGAGCTTTGGTAAAATAGAAAGCAATACTTGGTGTTATTATTAAAGTTGCTTTCCTTTTAGTAGCATATTTTGAACCCATGTTTCTGTCCTCTCTATACCATCATAATTCCTAAAATACTATTTTTGAGAAAGAGAACAAAAATAAAGCATGTTAAGTGCAAAATGAAGGGGAAACAGTTGGATTTGCAAGAGGCAATTTCTTCTTATTCTATGGAATTATGATTTCACAAAAGAAATTATGAGATAGTGTTTGTTGCAAGTAGTAATCAAGGTATGTATCACTTAGGAATTACTTGCAAATTCAGTTAGTTTAATATAGCTGTTAACTAATGCAGTGACTGTGGAAACTAGTTTGTGTATCATATTTGGTGCCTTTTGGTTGTCTGTAAGATGAGCACCAAGTTCTTTCAATAAGGTATTCTGCCAAGTGAACAGCCAAAGGAGTGACCCTAAGATCTTGCTCAAGTGGTTTATGTGTATTCTGTTAAGTGGAACCTCAGTCATAGAATCCGTTGAGTTGGAAGGGACCCTTTTAAAGATCATCTCGTCCAACTCTCCTGCAGTAAACAGCAACACCCACACCTTGATCAAGTGCCCAGAGCCTGGTCCAGCCTGACCTCGAATGTCTCCAAGGACAGGACATCCACCACTGCTCTGTGCAATCTGTTCCAGTGCTTTGCCACCCTTCTTGTAAGAAACTGTTCCTTATATCCAGTCCAAATCTCCCCTCTTCTAGTTTGAAGCTGTTTCTCTTGTCCTGTCAGGAAAGACATTGCTAAAGAGTCTGTCCCCTTCCTTCTTATAGACTCCCTTTACATACTAGAAAACTGCTATCAGCTCTCCTCAGAGCCTTCTCTTCTGCAGGCTAAACAGCCATTGCTCTCTGCCTTCCTCTTAGAGGAGGCATTCTATCCCTTGGATCGTTTCTGTGGCCCACCTCTGGATGCTCTCTAACAGGTCCATGTCTCTCCTGTACTGAGGTCTCCACATCTGAATGTAGTACTTCGGGTGAGATCTCGCCAGTGCAGAGCAGAGGGGCAAGGTCACCTACCTCGACTTGCTGGCCATGCTTCTTTTGATGCAGCCCAGGATACAGTTGGCTTTCTGGGCTGTGAAGGCACACTGCTGGCTCATGTCCAGCTTGTCATTTACCAGTAACCCCCAAACCCTTTTCAGCAGGACTATGTTCCAACCTTATGACCCCGAGCTTGCATTGATGGTGAGGGTTGCCACGACTCTGGGTAAGACCTTGCACATGGATTTATTGAACCTCATGAGGTTCACTTGGGCCCACCACTCAAGACTGTGTAGGTCTCTCTCTGAATGATATCCCATCCCTCAGGCATGTTGGCTGATTATCCCATCCCGCCTCCCTTTCTTCCATATGCTTTAGCATAGCTTTCAGGAGGATCTGCTTGTCTGCTTCAGCTCTTAAAAGAAATGAGTAAAGTCAAAAAGGTAACTTACAATGCAGTCTCCAGATTTTCTTTCCCTAATTATCTCTAGAATTATTTGTAAGTAAAACATAAATAAAATATGATGATCAGAGGGCTGGAGCCGCCTCTCCTATGAAGAAAGGTTGAGGAAACTGGGTTTGTTTAGCTTGGAGAAGAGAAAGCTTCAGGGAGACCTCATTGGGCCTTCCAGTACTTGAAGGGAGCATATAAACAAGAGGGGGAATGGCTGTTTACATGGGTTGAAAATGATAGGACAAGGGGGAATGATTTTAAACTGGGACAGGGGAGGTTTAGGTTAGACGTTAGGAGGATGTCTTCATTAAATCTTGCCATAGTGTCTTAGTGTTGCTCTTAGAGTTTCTGAACTTTTTAAGATATTACAGGTCTAGAAGCAGAGAATGGAGGTTGGCCCAGCACTGGCACATAGGATAGGGACTTGCTCCTGAAGTGATGTTCAGTACAAGACAGCTCTTTTGTTCTAATGCAAGCTCTTAGAGTGAGCATAGTTACTTTATTGCCAAAGAGAAACTTAAACGGGTATGTGTTTGCTGTCCTGAAGTCCCATGCTGTGAGGTATCCACCTGAAAAAGTGATGCAGCTTGGAAATGTTCCCTTGATCTAATGCAGGGCTAAACTTGATAGATCCATCTGGTAGTTACAGTCTAGCTTAATAGTTTGAATCCAAGAAATTCTTTAAAAGCACAGAGAAATTCAGATCTGGCATCCTGGTTCAAATCAAACTGTAGTGAGGCCATGTGATGTAATTTAACACTGCTTTATGGTGAAGAAATGTACTAGTTCAGATATTTGACAAAGCTGGTTATTGTTTACGAAAATTTGACAGGCTATGTAATGTGACATATGTCTTGTTATAGCTTGGTTGTTAACATGGCTGGCCAGCTACATTTTTACTATTGGAGTGAGATATGCAATACTTTGAAACCCAGTTTTGCCAATATCTCTTAGACCTTTTGGATAAAGATTTTTCATATGGTTTAAATTCACACGCTGCTTTGCACTGGACTTGAGTTTGTGTTGGTCAGTCCTAGAGTCCTTAATTCTTCTAGTCTATCCTTACAATGTGTCACAGAGATAGAATTGCTATGTCGGGACACCACAAAAATGCTTCAGTGTCTTTGGCATTTGTGCTTTGCTTGTCAGAAACGTTTATTTAATTTACATTCTTTTCCTTTTGAATATCCATTCTTTAGACTGTAGAAACAGTAGCTCTTCAACCTTTTAACTCTGGTTTTGATAAAGTTAAAACCATTGCCTCTGAAGGATCTAAGGCTCTCTTTGTTTGAAATAATTTTTCCTTTTTTTGTGAACAAATCTAATTCTTATACATGGAAAGAAAGGCTTTTTTGTTAAAGATTTTATAGCAAACATCCACTACTTGTTAGCAACTCCCTGGTTTGGTTTGTTGGTTGGTTTTTCCCTATTTATGGGATTCTGCTGACATGTACAGCAAAAAGGACCTTCTACTGGATATGAGCCTTAATAGGTAACAGCCAAGTTATTCCTGTGCTGTGTTAAAGCAATGAGCTTTTCC